ACATTTATTTATTTATTTATTTTGTTGAATGATATATGATTAAGTAATTAAATTTTGTACTGAATGATTGTCATAAACATTAATTTATTTATTTATTTTGATTAATGATATATGATTAAGTCCTTTCATTTTCTTTGCCATTTGATTATAACTTATAGTGTAGTTAAATTTTGTATTGATTGATTGTCATAAACATTTATTTATTTATTTAAAAAAATAAAAATTAAAGCCTTAAATATTTTTCCACCAATAAGGAGAGAGTGAAACCTTACTTTTATATATTTGATTTTCTGAGTTCTATATATTCATTTTAATATTAATTTGGCATGAATGAAATATAGAAACAATGACGGAATTTAACTTCAATTTCATTTATGTCAATTTTATTTTCTTCAGAAATATATACATATATTGTTGAAGGCATATTTGGAAGCATAAAATTTACTCTTTTTTTTTTTGGTGAATTGTATTTGTTTGTGATAATCTGAAAAACCAAAATAATGGGTTAGTTCTCTCTAGCTAATCTTTATTTTCCTCCACTTATTGTTGATCACAATACATATGTGGCTAAAAAAGAATGGTAGGATAGATAAAACAAAGATATAAACAATTATATCTCTCATGCATGGCTTCTTACCTACGTGAAATATATTTGTTTTTTTTAATCTAAACAAACGTGAAATATGTTTTAATACGGTTTAAAGCTGTGGTTTCTCATTCAAATCAATTCTCAAAGTAAAAAATAAAACAAATGCCAAAGACTTAGTTGTGTATATTTTTCATAAGTAATTAATCTTATATTAAAGTTTATATCTTGGGAGTACCCAACTCTTCCAACTTGGATTTTAATTTTTGTTTAGCAAACAAAAATAAGTTAGAACTATGTCTTAAAAATATAAATGTATATACAAACTTAATTTTTATACGTACACCATTATTTTAGCAAATCTGAGTTTAAAAATAGTATTTTTTATTTTTATAAATACATATACTAAGTTCCTTCAAATTCAACCCACATATATAAACAATAAATAATTTTAGTTATTGAAAATAGACCAAAATATATATAACACTGTAGCATTAATATTACAAATAAAAAATCAACTATTTTATAATCCAAACACTAAAATTGTATTAAAAATGGACCCGTGGTGTATTAAAAATGGACCCGTGGTGTACCACAGGGTAAATTCTAGCCCATTAGGAAAGTGCAAATTTAAATAATTTCTTACACACTATTTCATTAAAACATCCTCTATTATTTTTATATACTATTTTCAAAAAAATCATGTAAAGATAGACAAACATTTACATGTACTATCATACAACATAGTATTTAGAATACACCAAAAATATTTACTAAAACTTTAAATTAAATAAAAATATATATTAGTATATGTACCCATCAAACTTGAAAACATATGGATTAACTAATTACCCTCCACTCCCAATGTTGACTATAAAATCACTACTGTTTTAATTAATGAAAAAATATCAACACCAAAAAGAATATGTTTTCGTTTTAAAAAAACTAGAAATTCCCCGTTCCCCTCTAGGTACACATCTAGGAAATTCTTTGATATATATAGACCACACAGGATACATGTTCATATTGGCAATCAAAGACTATGCTAAACGAATTTTGTATATAACTATATATAAACTACAACGGTTAAAGTTTTATATAACACATACGCATAAAATACTGGTCTCGTGGTGTACCACGGGGTAAAATCTAGTTCTAGTATTATTTTCATAAGAATGGAGTTATTAATCTGGTTAATTTTTCTCGTAATTCTTAGTAATTTTTTTTAAAACTCATTAATTAAGAAAAATAATTGGTTATTTTCAGTTGCATATTTCATTAATCATAAAAAAAAAATCAATTTATTTATGTAAAAACACTAACAATTAAAAAAAAAGTTTGAAAATAATTGTTTACAATAAAAATATGTAATATGTACTTTTTCGAATATGATTTTAAAATGTCATTACTTTTTTAATAAATTTTAATATTCAATCAAGATTCATAAAGATCATAAAATCAATTTGTTGCCTCAATTTTTATCGTATTCTTGTGTCATCAAACATTTTTAAATGGATTTAAAAAAGAAAGGTGAATTAGGTGAATATTCATTTTAAATAAATCTTAGAAGAATATGGTTGGAAATTAACATGGTTGCTTCAACTGTTGTAATTCCACTGGAGGTGGTATTAGTGATTTCCATGTGATGTTTTACAAAAAGTCTAGCGTTTTTGATGGCTCCTCGGAAATGGATTTACAAGTTAAAGATGAAATGTCCTTGTTAATTAACAAAAATAACTTTATATAGCGTAACATGTTAATTAAGAATTTATAAATTTATATACGTTACAACTTCTTTCATATTTCAACGTATATTTGACAAGTTAGCTTTACTCCTCTTCTTCCCACTGCACTTGACCCGAAAGCTCGTCCTGCACAAAGAATCACGCTCACACACTTGCTTTTGGATCTATAGGTCAAGAACTGATAGGAGACGGGTGAAAGAAATAAGACATACCGGCACATGTAGACCCAAACCCTTAAAACAGTCTCTGATGGTCTCATCCAATAAATAATCCTCCTGAAAGCATCCATGCCAAATCTTATTAATGCTAGTATGCAACTCATGCAAGGAACCTTCTTGCCTCGCTCCCTCTCCTTTTCCCATAATGTAGGATCTAAGAAAGTTGTCTATATAATCCTCAAAACCTGCCGTAGAGAATAAACGATACATTCTTTTAAGGTCATCAATGAGACTCTTATCCATTAATAGCTTAAACCCCTCTTCAAGGAAACAAGCGTGAGCCTCCAGGAGTTGGCTCGCTAAAACGGTCATTAGTTGTGGCCAGCACCCTTCAAAGAAGAAATAATGCTTCTCGCATTTTTTTCTCTTCGGCACGCAAACTCCCCTGCAACAAACAGAACATATAGCTTTGTATTTATAGGGGTTAATAGGGAAAGATTATAACACAAAATGATATGTATGTACCTCGACATATTTCAAGTACTGGGAGATGTCGGATCGCTGCAGGACTTGCTCAGCTTCCTCGGCGTAAAACTTGGAAGTGGAATCAAGAAGAAGCTTTACAAACACATCTTTCGACACCCCATGGAACATTTCCATAAGATTCTTAAGGAGATCACTCGTGTAGTTAGGAGTCTTGCCTAATCTAAATAGACATATATAACACACAAAAATGCAAGGGGAAGAGTGAGACTGGAACATTAAGGGAACGAGGCTCTCGACGCCTACAACCTTTCAGTATTTTCAAGATTGTTTCCATCATTAAGGAATCACTCCGTGTGGGAAATACATACAGAATCAAGAGATCGAAGGGGAGCAGGTGAAGTTTATTGTGCTCATGGCCAGCAAGACAAACCCTTCGAGGTTACTCATCACGGAAGCCAAAACAAATGCAGAGGCTCAAGCAAACAAGGCAACCCTCAACTTTCTAGAGTTCTAATTCCTTCCACCATGAGGACATGGTGATACTTCAAATGGGGAGTATTGATAAGTATCGTTTGGGGATTGTTGGGCCTCGTTTATGTGCTTAATGGGCTACTATTGTTTAGTAGCCTTATCCCTCTTATTTCTCTATTTAGTTCCCTCTTGTTCACTATAGCAACTTATTGATTAAGATCTTAAAAAAAAAAAAACAATGTTCATCAAATTCCTCTCTTCTCTTCTCTCTACTCTCTTCTTCTGTAATTCTACCTTATTAATCTCTATAATTCTTCTGTTACAAACCTAAACGCAAATCCTAGTAGGTTTAGCTTCGGACACTTTTTTTTTTAATTACTCTTATAGAGAAGTTCATGGAGTTACAAAACGCATTTGACAACCAAACAACTCGGACAACTTTACAACTAATGAATATGATATGACTAATAATTGCTGTGTATTTTTACTAAAAGTCATGAATTAAAAAATTTAAGATGCAATTAGTAATGTAAAAAAAAAAGATGCAATTAGTAACTAATTTAAAACTAAATTTAATTATGTAATATTTTTTATAAAGTCCTTAGATAGTTATTTATAAAATAATTATGAAAAGTAATTTTGATGTGGTTACAAAATAATATTGGGTTTGCTACATAAATAATTCTCTAAAATATTGCTACCATAAATAATTTAAACTAATATTGCAAAATTAATAATCCAAATTAATGTTGTAAAATAACATTCGTATTTCCTTTCATATTAACAATATGATATTTTAACAAATATGAGGTTCACTATATTAAAAATACACATGATACTCATAACTCTTCTAAAATCCAGCCCATATGAATTCATCAACAAAATTTGTTTTTTGCAAATACAACTATATTATAATTTTGTATTATAACACTATAACATTTATATTAATCACTAAAGAAACGCAATCATTTTATTACACAAAATCACGAGTATTACATATAATTTTGAAAGAAAATGGAACCGTGGTGTACCACGGGGTAAAATTTGTTTTCGTTTAACAAAAAAAAACCCAAGAAATTTCCCTTCCTCTCTATCGCAGGTACGAATCTAGCATATTGTTCAATATATATAAACCACAAAGGATATATTGTTCATGTTGGCAATCAAAAAATTATGTTAAACGAACTTTGTATATAACTGTACGTATATATAAACTATAACGGTTAAGGTTTTACATAACATATATGCATAAAATACCAACCACGTGGTGTACCACGGGGTAAAATCTAGTTCTTCTGTTACAAACCTAAACGCAAATCCTAGTAGGTTTAGCTTCGGACACTTTTTTTTTTAATTACTCTTATAGAGAAGTTCATGGAGTTACAAAACGCATTTGACAACCAAACAACTCGGTCAACCAACGCACTAAGTCGACTATATAACATGTAGTTTGGTTTTTAAAAGTTATCATAACATTTATCATGATATGATCTTAAGTTATCATTTTCAAGTTAAACACACATGAACATAAAAGATTTGATGTAGCTAAGTCGATAGGAGTAGCAATACTAGCTGTGGTTGGTCACCATTGCTTCTTCATCACTACTATCATCCCCTTCACGCCATGTAACAGCACTAGGGGAGTTTAACGCACTGCAATAACAAAGAGCAAAAAATAACCACAAACTAATGAATAGTTTCCTTTGTTATCAAAATTTAATAATTAGGAACAAATTAGTGTACCTGTCTGGTATACGATATCGACGACCACCACTAGTTTCACAGAAATCTTTCAAGTAATCTTTCAAGTAATGACGTTTTTCCAGTGAGCTCTTGATATCATCCCTGGGGAAGGAACAATCAAATCCCTTAACCAAAATGGTCTCTTGATTGTTTCCCTCGGCACCACTAGTTTCAAAACCGCACTCTGGTTCCACCTTCTTATTTGTGGTTTCTTTCACCTATAGACAAAACAAATATCAATATTTTATTTATTTGGAGTGAACTCAACTCAGTAGGAGGTCTCAAGTTTTCAAGAAACGTTTAAAATCAAACAAAAGATGAGCTACAAAGTTTACAGTATATATATATATATATATAGCTTCACAACCTAGATAGCAAATAATAGCCCTAGAAAGAATGAGGTTTATAATTGAAAATATAGATCAGCAACCAAATACAATTCACAAATAGATTCATAGAAAATTAAACATACAGTATATATACCTTCAATAAAATATCCTCTAGATCAGCCTTTGTCACTGAATTATCCTGCAGTGTTTTGATAACTTCGGACATCAATTTCAACGAACTAGTTAGTTCATCGATTTCCTGCCATTATATTACAGGAAAATCAATAAACAGGAAAATCAATAAGACAAACCGGGGAATAAAAACAAATACAAAGTTATTGTTTCTAGGTTCCAGAGTATACCTTCTTTTGCTTCTTAAGAAGTAGTATCACTGAATCATCAAACTCTCTCTTAGCTAGATAGAAAAAAAAAATCAAAATCTTAAAAATAAAAATCATTCTAAGATTCAGAGACCAAGTTTTCTTTGACAAAAGAAATCAAAAAATAAAGATCAAGATTGACACAACAGTATAGGCATATGTTTGATTCTATAATATAAAACAAAACCAAAAAAAAAATATTCGTTTTCTTACATTTCTTCGAGGCTGCTTCAACCTTCAAAAAAAAAAAAAAAAAAAAAGACTCAGCTGGTGAAGAAACCATTAATAGAGAAAAATAAAAATTGTTCAACACTGAGTAAAGAAGAGAGCCATATAAGGAAGAAAAGTATACATCGGTAGTGGTGGATGCAGAGCATTCCTTCAGCCACTTATTTTTATCCATGGAAACGTATCAGATGATGAAAAGACAAGAGCGACGGCTAGGTTTCGATAGATAGAGGAACGAGACGACACAACCCTATATAACTTATATTTGTAATCCTTTTTTATTCGGGCTAGAATTATGTGGGCTGAATTTTTCTTCCACTTTGTAACGGTTATAAGCCCACCTTTTTGTATTCTCTATAAAAGATATAAAATCGATGATCAGTTGAACTTGGAATTGTTTAGGTTTGTGGGTGTGTTATAGATCGGTTAATTTCTTAATTATCCATAAGTATTTTTCAAAGATTTTAGTAAATTTATAAAATCTAGAGTTGAATTTATTTACGAAAAATACTTAGGTTCACCTCTTGAGGATTACAAATATATTATTTTTTCTATTTTGTTTTGTATTTACTTTTTTTTTTTTTTTTTTTTATTTTTTGAAATAAAAAATGACTGGGCATATTGTTGTATTTTGATTGGCTATTCAAAAGGGGATGAACAAGATTACAAGAGTGGTTCACCTTTCGGGGTGAATTAAGGAAACAAATTCTGTATAATTTTTATTAAGAAAATTATATATTACGGTTTGGGTTTATAAAAGAATGATTAGGGTTTAGATTTTAAACACAAAAAAAATTGTATTGCGGTTTAGGCTGACAAAATAGTGGTTAGGGTTTAGATTTTGTTATTAAACGAAATTATATTTCGGTTTGGGTTTATATTTTTTGTAATTAAACGAAATTATATTTCGGTTTGGGCTGACAAAATAGTGGTTAGGGTTTATATTTTGTTATTAAATGAAATTATATTTCGGTTTGGGTTGACAAAATAGTGGTTAGGGTTTAGATTTTTTGTAATTAAACGAAACTATATTTCGGTTTGGATTGACAAAATAGTGGTTAGGGTTTATATTTTGTAATTAAACAAAATTATATTTTGGTTTGGGTTGATAAAATAGTGGTTAGAGTTTAGATTTTGTAATTAAACAAAATTATATTTTGGTTTGGGTTTATAAAAGATTGGTTATATTATACATATTTTGTTTCCATAATCTATTTTGTTTTAGTGATTTTAGTTTTGATTTATTTATATATATATATATATATATATAGTATGACGTGGCAAATTATTTCATTTTGATTGGTTAATCTAATAGGGGGTGATAAGGAGGTTCACACCTAGGTGTGAACTTAAGTAATGCTCTTTATATATAGTATGACGTGGCAAATTACTTCATTTTAATTGGTTAATCTAATAGGGGGTGAATGAGAAAGTTCACCCCTATGGGTGAACCTATGTATTACGCACAAATAATTGGTTTTGCTTTTATGAGACACTAAAATTTAACCCGCGGAATACCGTGGACCAAAATTTTTATTTTTTAAGAAATAAAATTCAAAATATTCAACTACTTTGCAATTTATTTTAAAATGTTAACATTACATAATATTAAACTTAACTAAATCAGTCTGATTTGACATATATTATATTGGTGTTGTTAAAAAATAGTATAATGAATACTAACCAGTTTCGAATTGTTTACTAGATTTTAACCTGCGTCACACCACGAGACGATATTTAAAATGTATTTTTTTGTTGATTTATTTTGGTATATAAAATTGTACTACTGTATTATCATTGTTCATTTTATGATTTAACTTGTTGAATATTACATAAGATTTTGTTTTTTATGTAATCGTAATTTGATCAACTTAATTAAATAAATCTAATATTTAAATTAATAAAATGATGTTGGCATAACATCTTTCGATTAAATAGCCTAATTTCATATTAAAATATTGTGTGAGTTTTACTATATTAGACAAGCCGTAAAAACATCTATAATCATAATTATATAAATTATAACTCGCTCAATCGCATGATTCGTGCTACACAATTATCAATAATAGTTTAGTATCCATTGAGTAATATACGTCCGTTTTAAAATTTTTAAATTGCAAAATATGCGAAAATATTATATTTTTATTATAGATATGTTTTATGTAATAAGAAAAATTTAAAAACAAATAAGAACAGTTGACAAAAAAAAAAAACAAATAAGAACATATAAAGATATTGGAGAAATATTTGATTTACTAGTATTTCCAATATGTACCTAAGAAAAATAGTAAACATTTTAACATGGTAAAATTACAAAGTTTAAAAATATACATGCCGGGACATATGAATATTTTAGATCTAACCCTCTTTATCTTCTCGGCAATTCTGATCTCTCAAGTCTCAAGTTCATCTGTAGAATAATGTTTTCTTTTCCCTTTCCAATATCTGCAGCGACGATAACTAATCATTAGTTAATAAACCCAAACCACAACGTTTTATTTAGAGTTCTCGAATTAATTATATCTGCCATCACAAATAAATTATGCAATGTTTAGATCAAATTATTTTATTATTAAGATACAGTTGATAAACAAACTATATAATTGGGTTTAATCTCTCGTAACTCAAGATTTATTATTGTGTACCTTCTCATCCACGAGACTTTATACTAATAATTAACCGAGGTCTATCTTTTGGAATATTTGAGCTCTAATCTTTCTCTCTTTTAAAATATAATTTTAACCTGAATCAATAAATTTAAAAAAGGTATTAGTAAAAGATGAAGAGAAAAAAGTAGTCACAAACCTGAATAGATTAGTCATAAGATATGGCAACCACACAAAAAGCAACGAAGTGGAAGACATGCAACTAAAATACACATGAGAGACTGGACAATAAAACAATGGAGTGAGATTAATTAGAGAAAAAAACTGAATTGAATGAGAGTTAAATAGGAGATGCATCGGTTATATATTGTGTACGGTTTCATCTTGATTGTAGAACGTGTTGATGTTTTGTGGCATAATATTATTGGTCATGTGACTTGTGATTTATAAGATAAAGGATTATTGAGAGATATTAGGAAATTTTGTTAAATATAATAAATACTAATTTCTAATTTTGCAATTTTAGTATGATCTAGTTACAAAATTTTATTATAAAAGTTTGTTTTTTATTCAAATGGAAAGGGTTTAATTATGCAAATAATACAAAATAAAATGTTACTTTTCAAAAGGTATTTCAATAATGTTAATATAGATAAGCAAATATGTGATATGGAAACAAGCATCTTAATCTAAAACTGAACTTCATATCAATTTCTTAAAAAGGGCCAAACAAATATGTTTTAGAGTTTTGAAACTCTGCTTGACTAAAACAAAGAAAAATAAAGTCATGAATTCATAGATTCGTAGAGCTTACCTCGTCTCTGCATTTGTCATTATTCTTCTTCTTATTCCTCTTCTTGACTTCATCCTTTTCCACTTTTATATATGATTCTATATTTGTTATTTGTTGGATTAATAGTTTAACTTGTTTTCTTACTAATGATTTAAATATGGGTTTTACATATTAATTTTGTACTTTGTTGTTAATTTATTGAAATGAAAGAATTCGTTTTTTACATACACTGACACACATATGTATGTCATATATTTATATATTGTTTTAAACGAGACGATTCGTTTTTTAGGATACACAAAAAAACCTAATTTTAAGGTTGTTCAATCATTTTTTCAGTTCGCATATTAAATGTTATATCTTTTTTTCTGGTGGTGATCAAGATGATATAGCTTCTTATTTTGTTTTTAGAACAAAGTTACATGTCCTAACTAAAGCTTTCTTATTCCCCTGAACGCAATTGAGCTTAATTTGGTAATGGAAGTATTAATTTAGGAAAAAGAAGATTGATACACTTGAAGCACAAGTTATGACAATGATAATATGGGTTTCAAATCCTTTAGTTTGTGCAAATGTAGACTTTTTTTTTGTTTGTTATAATGTCAATATATACTTTATACCTTTCTCTTTAATTTTAATAATATATAGTTTAGGTGAATTTAGGGGGATATAGGAGAGGTGAAATGGAATAGTGACTCACAAATGATTTTAAAGCGTCGAATCATATCATATCATAGGTCTACCAATATTCATCACTGTCAAATTCAAATAATTATGTATAGATATCGTTACTAACGTTCACTTCGATCATGAGCATCAGTGGTATTATGCCCAGTCCCCCACATTTTTAGTTAAAAAGAAAAATCAGAAAGAAAAAAAAAACAAGAGTAACGTTTGTTATATAGGGACGTCCTCTGCCTTGGTTTTTGACTATTCTAGTGGGACCCGCGATTGGTTATCTATTTCTTTTTTTTTAATCTAAAAATAAAAAACTTTTTTTTGGGACAAAAAATTGTCCCACCGCTGCACATGCTTTTATAATTTTGAGTAAATGAAAAAAAAATATTGTAAACAAAAGTTTTGCATGCGATATTAGCCGCAAAGATGAAAAAAATATATGGAATTTGTCGTTAATCAACGCTTTTAGACCGATTAATGATTTGCTTGGTTTGGGTTGAAATTTGCAAATAAGCGTGACGACAAATTAATCATATCGAGCTTATTATTTGATGAAAACTTATTACTATTATCATAGATGTTATGACAACTTGTTTAACACAAATAATATTATCTTTTAACTTCAAGAACTTATTTCTATCTCGAACCAGTTTAATATTTTTGTTTCTCTTAAGAAATCAAGGATGTTAGAAATATAGAATTGGTGAGTGTGAGCCAAAATATGCTACAATTTATGAAGAAAATATTTAAAGACTCTTATCTCTCTTAATTTTTTCGCCAAAAATACATATATTAGAAATTGGTAGAGAGTTTCTAAAAGTTTAACGGTCAAAATAAATTCCAACGGAGATACGTTTGTTGATTTTAAAAGACACTTGGTTTGGCGACCAAGCCTTATGCGAGACTTGTCTCGCCTCGCCTTTTTCTCTCTGTTTTTTTTTTTGAGTTATGAGTTACTAGTATTCTCCCTCGTACTACGTACGGGGAAAAATCAATTAGGAGAATATAAAATTAATATATCATATAATTTTACTTAAATAAATAAAAAGAATTATCATCATAAAATAGTTGATTTTCAACATTATATGATCGGAGTTGTTTATATGAACCAAAAGAAATCATTAAATTTTTGATAATTTTTAAATAAAAATTTTTGATATCCCTTTAGACACAATTCATCCCATAGAAAAAAAATCTGCAGAATATAAATTGTTAAAACAAATTTTTGCATGAATTTGAGGGAAAATCATCTAGTTTTGAAAAGAAAAAATAAGCCTGAAAAATCATCTATATAGAAACAGAAAGAGTATAGTAGAATCGTCGGTCTTACCTTGATTTATTGTTAATTGTAGTAGATAGTGATATAACTACTTCATCTTACCGTAGACAATAAGATGATTAAAAAACCAGATACCAACTGAAATTAAGAAATTTAATGGCTCATTTATGATTCATTAGCTTGAAAGTAAGAAATAAAAATAAAGCCTTTGTACATCTTGAGGAAAAAGACTAGCAAAGTAATTAACACACAAACGGTAAGAAACATGTAAATGATTAGAGAGGCTGTGATCTATTTACCCATTCAAAGGGGAAGAAACTTTCATGTAATAAGAGAACTGATCAACTCCAAAGAATCTACAGTTAAGAAAATGCATAAAAATCTGAGGTTTACAAGCTTAGGTGGGAGAGAAGATCATACTTGTTTCATACTTTTAGGATCAGTAGGTTTTCGTATCGATTTGATGTCTTTGGTGTTAGCTCATGACACGGGATCACTTTTGCTTTGATTACGGTCAAATAGGCATGTCAATCGGGCTAGCGCGGCCCGGCCCGGCCCAAAACTCATAAAACCCTCATATATTTGAGTCCGGCCTGGCCCGGCCCGAAAAATATCCGGGCCTATATTTCAAACCCCGGCCCGGCCCTAACAGGGCTACAAGGCTTTTCGGACTTTTTTGGGCTTTAACTAACGATAAAAAATCAACTTCTAATTTCATAATAGTTTTTAAAAAACAATATTTAAAAGTATACTATAAAAATAATGTATCAAAATTTAAATAACTTATCAATATTCATTAAAACTAACTTAATTTAAGAGAAAAATTGAATACTAAATAAATTATTTACACTTTAACCCAAATAAAACATGGAATTAAAATACTTTAAAGTAGATGATAGAGTCAATATCTATATATAATTTTAGTTTTGTTCAGTTTTGACATATATAAATAATAGAAAATATGATAGATAATGATTTTAAAAGTATTAAGTAAAGCTAGTAAGTAAATATGAAAAATTAATTCATTAATCAAATCTTCTATTCAAACTAAAATATTTACAAAAATAAAAATATATTTATTTAATGGCTTTTCGGGCCAGCCCGAGCCCGACCGGGTTAAGCCCAGAAAACTCTTTAGCCCGAAAGGGTTTAGCCCAAAAAACCCGATTTTTTTGGACATATATATTTAATCCCGACCCCGATGTTTTTTAGGGGCGGGCCGGACTAGCCCGCGGGCTTTAGCCCTAATTGACATGCCTACGGTCAAATAATGCTCTTTTCGTGGTGTAAGTGTAACCGACCAAAGACTTCATGCATGCATGTCACCCTGCATGCATGCAACTTCAAATGTATAGCTTTCCAATAAACCAATGATAACGAAATTGTAGAGCTTGGAACTAATTAACGACAACTCTGAATCATTTGACAGAAGTGATTACACTACTGTCTCGATGATCGTTCGGTTGAATCAAATGCTTGTAGTATATAATATCAATCATCGAAACTATAGTGTTAATATTATAGGTGCCATTTACAAAATTTATCAAAAATAACAATCAAATAATTGTTTATAAGCAAATAGGTGATATGGAAACAACCTAGCATCTTAATCTAAAAAAGAACTTCATATCAATTTCTTGATTAAGTGCCAAACAAATGTCAGTGTAACTGCATGTGTGTGTAACGTTAAATTGATAAAAAAAAAAATTATATTTATTTGTCTTCAGTTTAAAAATCGAAAGACAACACGAAATTGACAAAACTAATACTGTAAATCTCATAGTATAGTAGTATACTAAACCGAATTACGTACGTACTCTTTGTATAATGCAAGCAACTAAACCGAATTACGTACGTACTCTATGGATACTGCAAGCAAACGTCAAATGTATTACTATCTAACCAACCAACCATTCATTAATTCTTTTAATTTATTAGTTACTCAATATATCATATATAACGTACTAGGTTAATGTCTATATTTATATTCAACTATGATATGTTATATATTATTATTTATCATGGATTATATAAACCTATTGATTTACTATATAATTATATATGTACCTTGCCTATAACGTTGTAACTTCGTGTAAAGATTAAATCCCTTTCCAAGTGATTAACAAACTAAACCTTACAAAATTAGTGCCATGATATTGTGATATATTCTTTATTGCTCACTGTACATTTATCCAATAACTCTCTATAACTTATAAATAGAATAAGCGATGAATGATGAAAAAGATTCGAACAAAAAACTTGTCAAATATTCCTATACAAATAAATAGGGATCGGATGATAATGATGAAAAGTAATATGTCTGTTGAAATAAATAAGTAATACGTGAAAAGGCTAATGAACAAAGGTGTGAGTAGTGAACAGTTGCGTAAGAGTCCCATCGCACTTGTTGATGATGCACTCTCACTTCGCGTGCTAGCTGCCTAGCTTCATCCTTTTCCAGTTTGTCTATACTTGTTATTCTATACTTGTTATTTTTTGGATTAATAGTTTATTTTATTTTCTTACTAATGATTTAAATATGGGTTATAAATATTAATTATGTACTTTGTTGTTAATTTATTGAAAGGAAACAATAATTCATTTTTCACACACACTGACACACATATGTGATATGTATGTCATATTTTTATATATATTGTTTAAACGAGCCAATTCGTTTTTTTAGAACACAAAAAAAAAAAACCTAATTTTTGGAAAGCACTAAATATTTGTTCATTGCATTCACCATAGTTTGCATTTTGTAACAGCAAGTGGCATGTCATATGTGGAAGGATTAGCTATACACAAATACATCAAGTGGGCGTGACAACGTCTTTGACTTTGATGATATTTGTGGAACACATTTTTGAAAAAATAAAGGTGGGACAAGGTTTCGATTTTATGTTTGTTCAATCATTTTTTCAGTTCGCATGTTAGATGTTATATCTTTTTTTTTTTTTCTTTTTTTTCTGGTGGTGATCAAGATGATATAACTTCTTATTTAGTTTTTAGGACAAACTTAGATGTCATAGCTAAAGCTTTCTTATTCCCCTGAACGCAATTGAGCTTAATTTGGTAATGTAAGTATTAATTTAGGAAAACGAAGATTGATACACTTGAAGCACAAGTTGTGACAATGATAACATGGTTTTCAAATCCTTAGTTTGTGCAAATGTAGACTTTTTTTTTGGTTTCGTTATAATGCCAATATTTACTTTATACCTTTATCTTTAATTTTAATCATGTATAGTTTAAGTGAATTTGGGTGATAAAGTAGAGGTGAAATGGAATAGTGACTCACCAATGATTTGAAAGCGTCGAATCATATCATATCATAGGTCTACCAATATTGATCACTGTCAAATCCAAATCATTATATTTAGATATCGTTACTAATAATAACGTTCACTTATAATTTTGAGTCGAGTAAAAATCATATTTTGTTGTAAACTAAAGTTTTGCATGCGTAATATAGAATCTTTTTAGCCGCAAAGATTAAAAAAAAATATGGACAATTACGTAACGAATCAACGTTTTTTTGGAGAAAATTAATGATTTGTTTGGTTTGGGTTGAAATTGCAAATAAGCGTGACGACAACTTAATCATTTAAAAGGTAATTTACTTGATAAAAACTTAATACTACTAGTAAGTCTAGTATCATGATAAAATAAGAGCGATCAAATATTTTGGTGAAATAGTTTTAGAAAAACAATAAATTTGGATGTACATCTAGAAATTTGTTTTCATTTCGTTTTGTCCTTTTTTTTTTTTTTTTGAGTTAGGTGTCATCTCTTATGATATTTTGTATAATTTTTATGATTTATGTTCAAGATGCTATTTTAAGTTGGTGGCTAATTAACTTTACCTTTATGTTTTACCACCTTTAACGTATAAATCAGTTTATACTTTTTTATAATTCCAAAGTCTACAATAGATTTTGTGACTACAATAATAGGATTTGACTAAATGAATCATCCTTTTTCCTAACTAAAGACAAACTTTTAACTTGTATTTTAAATTAATAAAATTGGAACAATTCTAGAATTTGGAAAATATTTTTTCAAAAGTTTTGATTATTCTTTTTTTTTTAAAAAGTTAGTGCTTTGAACAATAAACTAATAAACATTGGATATTCCCTTTGTTTACTTTTTATAGCCTTCTTTCAAAAATCATTATAATATTCCTTTAATTTAATTCCTCCAGATTTTGCCATAGTAAAGTAAGATAAATTTGTTACTTTTTATTGTCAATATCAATATAGTATTTACTTGTTTGACTCAGGAAAACCAAATCGAGAAAACATTTCTTACTTGCTAACTTATTTGCTTAAAATAAAACGTTACATAAAATGATTTTAGTATTTCATTACGTTTTTTTAGATAAAATAATAATATGATAAAAATAGCGTATTACAATTTTAAAAATATAATTTAATTTATGTTTTTATAACAAGAAAAAAAAAATTACACTACTAGTTATTTAAATCACACAATAAATAATATAATTCATCATATTTCTCTTTTTACTCAACAAAAACATAGAAATGTTAAGGTAAGGTTTTTTCTACTTTTAAATTTTTATTTTTGACCTGTGATGCAAGTTATATATTAATGTAAACACTTATGGCATTTATTGTATTAATCTTTATTAATCTTTATATACTAATCACTGCAGCCACGTCTTCTTCATCAGAGAGTCCAAAACATCGTCCAGCTTACAACACATAACAAAACAAAACACTCTCTCGCCTCTCCTCCTCTCTCTCTCGATCTCTCTTTCAAATTCTTCAGATCTCAACGTCGTCACCAGAATCTTCGCCGGAGATAAAGATACGAGAAACCATCTCCGTGATGATTCCTTACGCCACAGTCGAAGAAGCATCCGTCGCACTCGGGCGAAACCTCACTCGTCTCGAAACTCTCTGGTTCGATTACTCCGCCACGAAATCAGATTACTATCTCTACTGCCACAATATTTTGTTCTTGTTCGTCGTCTTCTCTCTCGTCCCTATCCCTCTCGTATTCGTCGAATTGGCTCGATCCGCTTCTGGTTTGTTCAATCGGTATAAGATCCAGCCTAAGGTTAATTACTCTTTCTCCGATATGTTCAAATGTTACAAAGACGTCATGAAGATGTTCATCCTCGTCGTTGGTCCCTTACAACTCGTTTCTTATCCTTCGATTCAGGTTAATTTCACAATTTTAACACATTTGGTTTGAATTTGATGGTCTTGGTTTGAATTTACGCTTCTTTGTTGTTTCGATTTGATGATTTCGTTTACGAATTTGGAACTTCCGCTGTATCTCAGTCTTGATTTGACAAATTTTGGTTATCTCATTTGCCTAATTGGAAGGAATTAGGATTGTTACAGAACTGTGTGTGATTTGGATTTTGAATTTGATGTTTAACAGATGATTGAGATTAGATCCGGATTACCATTACCAACAACATCAGAGATTCTAGCACAGTTAGTAGTCTACTTCTTAATTGAAGACTACACTAACTACTGGGTGCATAGGTTCTTTCATAGTAAATGGGGATATGAAAAGATTCATCATGTACATCATGAATACACTGCTCCAATTGGGTATGCTGCACCTTATGCACATTGGGCTGAAGTGTTGCTTCTTGGGATACCTACGTTTTTGGGACCAGCTATTGCTCCTGGTCATATGATTACCTTTTGGTTGTGGATTGCTTTAAGACAAATTGAGGCTATTGAGACTCACAGTGGGTAAGTAAGCGTGGTTGAAAGAATCAAATAACAAATCCTTTTGCTTTTTTTCTACTTTACAGTGTTATAGCCTTTTTGTTTATTATACATTATACCAATTCTTGAATTGTTTTATCTCCTCTTTCCTTAGTTGGTCTATGTTATATTATATATCAAGAGCTCAAGGTGTGTAGATTCAATAGTGGCTCTCACCTTTTTACAACTGGGGATAAGTTAGGTATTAGGTTTACTTTTTAGGCTTTTGGAAGCTATTGGGGTTTGTTTTGGAACTGGTTAGATACCTTTTGATAGGCTCATTTTTACTTTAATTAATTCTGGAGTAACCCTTAACATCTGCAAAGAGGGAACTAGGCTCCCTTAAAGTTTTTTACTTTACACTCCTGTGAGAATGAGACATGTTTCTTGCTTGTTTGAAATCTTGAAATGTATCTTGATTGACCATAGAAGAGGGTGTTACTAAAGCTTACATATTTCACTTTGTTCCATTGCAGATATGATTTCCCATGGAGTCCAACAAAATACATTCCTTTCTATGGTGGTGCTGAGTACCATGATTATCATCACTACGTTGGAGGACAGAGCCAAAGCAACTTTGCTTCAGTTTTCACTTACTGTGATTACATATATGGAACCGACAAGGTAAGTGTTCGTCAGAAGTTTTTGATATTCACTAATTGATTTCTAACAACTCAAGACTGAAAATATATATATACTTGTTTCCTGTATCAGGGTTACCGATTCCAAAAGAAGCTTCTTGAGCAGGTAAAATCTCCATCTATGGAAATGTCACTTGTTCTTTATGCTAATACCTCTAAAATAGTTCTGTTTAACATTCATTTTCATGTATGCTTCACGCATCGCAGATCAAGGAGTCTTCTAAGAAGAGTAACAAGCATAACGGAGGAATCAAATCGGATTAGTAAAAAACCGAGGAAGAAGATTTTAAACCCATAAAAGAAAATTCAAAGCATCACTACTACTAAGTAGACTAGTAGAGTCAGCTTCACGAAAAAAAAAAAAAGAAAAAAAAAAGGGAGTGGTTTGAATTCTCGGGTCTTATGTCATCACAGTTGTTTACTAACTACCTAGTTTTTTTCTTGAAATTCACATGAAAAATGCTCTGCTTCCGACATGTGGGTCATGGATGTATAAGTGGTGGTCGGGACTGGGTTTTGTTCTTTCTGTCAGTTTATTAATATTTTGTTTCGTTGTCTTAAAGTAGAAAGAAGATGTCATCAAAGCTAGCCATGTTTGTTTTCTCATATTATTTCTGTAAGAGATGAACCTTGTTCGTATTTTATTCTTCTTTGTTAGAACACTTAGGGTAATAGTAATGATATATATAAGTTATCTAACTCAGTAAAACAACAAGCCCGTCTAGCTCAGTTGGTAGAGCGCAAGGCTCTTAACCTTGTGGTCGTGGGTTCGAGCCCCACGGTGGGCGATTCTCTTTTTATTATTTTTGACAGAATATAGCAATTCCCTTAATTTTAGTCAAACCAAGGAAGCAAATAAATTGTACTCACTTATGTACATATAGGGAACATATCTCCCCAAATTAATTCCAAAAATAAAAAAATCGATACCAAGTTTGTCTAAACGACGTCGGAGAAACCCCATCCAAGAAAAAACATGAAACTTAAATGATAATATCATCTAGTGAGATCTCCTCTTCTTCGTTTAGTCGTTTCATTTTCTGCACGTAGCATAGCAATAACACATTCTTTAGTCATTACACACAGGTTTTTGATGTACAAAAAAAAAATCAAAGTGTTCAATGCAAAAATGAAGAGAGACCATACAGTGAGGAAAGTTTGGGGATCAAGGAAGCTGGATGAGCCTAAGATCACTTCTCTGTCAAGCTTCTCCGTAAGTTTGTGGCAAACCCTCAACTGCAAAATTAACACAAAATGTATCACTTAATCAACCCACTAGTTACATACGGATCATAACAGATATTTTCTTTTCAGACTGGTTCATTTTAGTACCTCTGATCTTGTTGCTCCTCCTACTATGAACACGAAAATCCGCTGTCCCTTTCTCTTGAATCCGCTAGATGCTCGTCCTAGAACCGAGTCACTGAAACATATTTGACAGTTTAGTCTTGGTTGTTTTGACTATATTATCAAATATTCAATAATATCCTCATAAATTTGCAAAAATTTAGCCAACTTTTATTGTTTGTCATGCAGATTACTGAATTATAAGATTCAGATTCAGATTCAGATTCAGTGTAAACTGTCATTAGATTCAAGAATAAACTAGCTTTCAGATTACCAACAAGCAAAAGATAAAAACAAAAAAAAGAAACTAAACTGAATTACCTGAAATATCCGTCATCAGAAAGATGACGTCTTGCCCATGTTGGTGTTCGTCTTGAATGAGGCAATACCGGACTGGTTGATGGAGATTGAGAGCCAGAATAAAAGGTTGGCTTTGGTTCATTCATGCAAGGGTATTCTTGTTTTGGCAAATGACCTTTGCTAAGTTTCTCAACAAGTTCCTGAAAAGATATTACCCACATATATAGAGAAACCAAACATGTCACAGGTTCTTTAGTGCATACATAACATGCTTAAAGTAAAAGAAATTTAAATTTTCAAAAGGTAACAACCTCTACGATCGGGTAAAAACGAGACAGCTGCCATGTTTGAGTGTCACCAACTCGATCTCTTCGAGCAGCTCGCTTCTTCTGAGTTACATAGATCAAAAGATTCCAGTTATTAGATTGTCAAGAAAATCTTCAGTCTTAGTCATTCTAATGATAACAATAGTGAGGAAGAATATGTACCTTCAAAACATCAAACTTGAGAGGGAAAGATCCTGTGGTGCTCTTTTTGGACTCTGTATGTACTGGTCCAAGTAATCTCATATTGTTCACAGCTATTACATCATCTCCCGACAATTTTGCTAACTGAAGGATTTAATCAAGAAGTAGGATAAGCTAATTAATCAACTTAATTTAAACGTTTTCGAAGATAATTATTGTTTATTACCTCCATCATCTTTCGCCCCTTTTCACCTTCAAACTTCTTTGGATATATTGCCGCAACGATCATCATTAACCGTAGCTTGCTTTCGTGGTTTATAATCTGGAAATGTTTCTCATTATCAGCATAAAATCGTCTAGATGTATGAAACTAAAAAGCAGAGCATCTTACATGGTTGGTGCTCAAGAATTTGATAACGTCTTTTCTTCCAGCATCCCCAAAAACAAGATCCTGCTCGAGCTGCCCGAGATCTCTTAGACCTTGTTCCATGATAGTTCTGTTAATTGTTCTAGCAATCTGCAGTGAAATTAACCATAGTTATTTAATGAAGAACAATAGACCTACATACATTATCACATCAAATTTTCTACCATGGTTATTTTATAAGCTTAAACCTGACCTCCACATGTAGAGAAAGCTTGTCAATTTGTTCGCTGTACTGAGGCAAAGCGTGAACCATCTTTTGCAAGTCTTTTGAGGAAAGATCACCAAAGTCTCTGCACACAAGAAGTCAATAATATAGTCAGAAAATTTCTAGTGGATCACTTGAAACAAGAAAAAACAAAAACCGACAAAATGGTAACTACTTTGAACTGTGTTTCAATTGTGCGGCTTTGTTTTTTGACACAAAGTTTGTCATCTTCTCATGCAATCTTTCACTTGCCTGAACAAAAAGACAGATTACTCCCAGACGAACAAACATAACCAGTTTGACATAATAAACTTAAAAAAAGGGGATGCAAGATAATAGCAAGACATACATCTGCAATGTGAACATCACGAAGCTCTACCCATAGGGGATCTTCATCGTCTAAGAGAACCTCTTTCTTCTCAGGTTTATCACCAGTTTTACTCGGAACCTAAACACTAAGAAATAAAAGGGGAATTACCATATGCTGTAGTGATGAGCTACAACCAACTTTTACAAGATTTGAACGTGAAACCAAAATGTCACCTCGTGTGTGTATTTATTTCCTTCCATATTAAGCAAATCGTGGCACATCGCATCGTAAGTCCACTCATGAATGAGAGGTGCGATCTAAAGAAGCATCAGAAGGTTATTGTTATTATGTGGTTATGACATATCAAGCAGAACAGAAAGATAATTGTGTCGGTGAAAATCCCCACCTGATCTATGGATCGATCTAAGATAAGTAGTTCACATGTTTCAGTCTGAGGAAAATCTTCGATCGTCTGTTTGTATCTTGCCAGACAATTCCATACACTAGCAGCAAGCTTTGTAGGAATCAATTCTCGGTAAGTTGTCATTGTTGTGGCATCAAGAGCTTTAGCTGAACGGTAGCGAACAAGTGGGTATTCCTGTACAAAAGAAGAATTTAATGATATAACCTTCATAGGAATTTCATGCAAATCAACAAACATTGATTTTGTGCTTTGTACCCTTAGCGAGGCCAAGACTGTAGCAATGCGTTTAGCAACCACATTCAAGCAATCATCTGCTCTTTGATGGTTTTCCTCGTCACAGAAAAGTTCTTCTAGAGCATTTTCATTATTTGTAATAAACCCCTACAGAGAAATAGTACATGGGAGTAATTAAGTAATCCGGTTTCAATATAAAACACATGCTATACAAATTGCAAAATTTTGAAGGCATGTTCTAAGTTGTTATTTGTGAGAGCAGTAATTAAGTTTGGCCTAAATAAAATAAACCACCATTAACTTGATTGGTCAAGAAGGAAACTTGATTCTTAGATATCAGAAATTTTCAAAATATGCAAATCTTGAGGAACAAACAGAACAGAAACAGGGTTTTAAACATGACTATACCTGGCTGTCCATGCTAATGTACTCCAAGTTCATCTGCATATTATGGAAATCCAATTTTACATTATCTTCTTTATCTTGTGAGATTGCATGTGAATAAGTAAAGTAAGAAGAAAATGTGAAAGTGGCATATAGAAGCAACCTCTTTCAATCCACCAATTCGTTTCATCGCTCTCAAGTCTTTCTTAATGTGATTAACTAAGCTTCTCGAAACAGGAGAACTAAAGAAAACAAAAGCCCTAAAGTGACAGTACAGAGAATGATTAATCATTTCCGATTAGACAGTCCATATATATGAGAAGTTATGAAACACGACAGAATTGTTCACATACCTCTTGTACAGTGGAGATTTCCCAGTCATATCTGACAAAAACGCAGTCACACTGCAAAAACAAAAACAAAAAATAACAGCAGCTTCAGATATCACCAGAGTTCATTAGTGAGAAACTGATGTCAATTGTCTCAACTGGAAGAATTGTTTACTTTTCTTGGGTCGGTTGGATAAAGTATATAGCTTCCATGGAAGTCATAGGTTGTCTGTGTTTAGTTATAACCTCAACCACTGGAAAACATAACAAAACATCAAAAACGATGCCAATAAGATATAAGAACAATATTGATTGCTACGAGATCTGATTCTTACAAGAAATGCCTTGTTGGGTGATCTCAGACATTTTACAGGCAGATGACATTAGCTTCACTGTGAACTTGTCCATAACAAGCACCTAATATACATTAACAGGTTTATAAGCAAAAACATCATGACTGAAGAAAGCTGAATATAACCAGAACCAAAAACAAAAAGGTTTAATCAAAACTGTGGATAGAAAATACCTTCCAAGTTGATTTAGAGCTCCCATTTTTCTCTGGCCTAAGCATTTCATACAGTAACCCTGAAACCAAAAAGTGATAAAACTATTCACACCCTTGAAAAAGTATTGAACTTTACATGATTCACCTAAATATGCAAAACCCACATGTTCCTGATATGCAAAGCTTTTGCTCCAATGAAATTAGTTTAACAAAAACAAAACTCTGATTCATTGTGATCACGTTGACCTAATTCAAAACTCCATAAACCCCAAATCTGATTCCTCTTACAAATCAAACGAAACCCTAGAGCCCCAACACCATTATTTCTCTAACTAATCAAACGAACCAGAAGCTTCCACACAAACCCCCACAACAGAGTCTAATTTCAAAAAACCCAAAATTGGTAAGAGAAAGGGTTAAAAAAGCTAACTTTCTCTGGTGATTTGTCTGAAATTCTTGTAATCTCCACCACTAGAGGAAGACGATCCAGAATCGGAGAAAGACATTGCGTGAAATCGTTCGATATGGCCGACGAGAAAAAGAAAAAAAGAAAACTTTTTTGATGAAGATGGAAAGGGAAAGACAAAAACTTTATCCGAGAATCGAATTTATAAAAACAACTCGAAATCAGATTCAACGAAGAAAGTTTTCAATTTTGAAAAAGTGGTAGATCGGAAGGAGATTTGAGAATCTAGGGTTTACTTGGTGACGAAGACAACAACAACGTTAAAAGAGAGAGAGAGAGTAAAGGAAGGAAACTTGGCGCTTCTAGATTTTGCCGTTTCGCTGGGTCGTCGGCTCAAGGAATGATTTTTCAAACTTTGAACCAGTTTGTTTCTCAGGCAGACGTGTGTTAAAGTCAAAAATTATATTTAATATAGGGACGAATTTGTGTATTATAATATTTATTGGGGGAAAAGTGAAGAACAACCATCAAAAGTAATTAAATTTATAAAGGAGGCCATCGTATAAAGAAAACTGTAAAGTAAATCACCCAACTAATAAAATTTCACAATTTAGCCCCCAAATGTTAACACTATAAAATTTAGGCCTAGAGTAACCGGTACCAAACCAAAATTTGGGGTTCGGTTTAACACTTTGCAATTTAGGCTTAGGTATATTAGTCATACCCGAAAATTGGAAGAACCAACTCGAATTAATCCAGAAATAAACGCTCGTAATAATAAGATTTATATAAAAGTTGGAAAGAAATTTGAGGTCGATAAGCAAATCAAGCTTAGGTGGTGGATTGTTCTCGAAACATCAGTTAATTCAAGGATCTGTTTGCAATTTTACCAAAAATAGTCAGCAAACAAATCCTCTTACAAAAGTAATCTTGATTTCTTTATGAAGTTTACGCTTTATATTCTAAGTATGAAGTTTCTAGTTTTTCTACATTCACATGTGTCTTTTACATTGTTCCTTACTTCTTGGTTAGTTCCAAACTTCCAATTATTTATTTTACTATTATAACTAAAGAAAGCTATGAGAGATAAGTTAATATCATTATTGTTAAACATAAGATCATTATTTTGTGGTACAAATTTTCCAAAATAGCTCACGATCTCGAGCTTAATTAGAACTTTACAAAAAGTTGTTATCATCAGACATCTCTATAACTAATCTCAAAACAAGATAACAAATCGATGTGTTCCCAAGTCATAGTGAAAGTGATAATATGATCCATATATTACAGTGATTTTATTACATCAAACCATCTAAGCACAAATTTATTAACACTACATAACCATGGAATCATACATATCTCCACATATCACATCACTACACTCCTTTAGCTTGATCTAGAGTTGTCAAGCCTTCAAGAATCAATTCACTTCGGAGTTCAGTTTCTTTCTTCTTAGACAGCTTCCACCGCAAGAAAAACACAACCATGTTAACAACAACAACGATCATAACCCACCCTACACTAATCGGTAAATACCACATTTTATCCGGAGATATCACAGCCATGGAGACTAAGTAAGAGACATGGAGTGGTACCATTATCCATATAAACGCCCATATGTATTCTTCTCCAGCTGGTAAAAAGCAAAACACCATGAAAAAAGCTCCCTCGAAAGCCATGCTATTCACAGACCTTAGAACATTGAAATAACTCTTGTTCATCACAACCGTACCAACAACACTCTTGTTACTAGTATTACTACTACCTTCCTCAGCATTGCTTTGGTAAACACCACCTGGTGGCTGAAGAGCTATCATATAAGTAGTTGAGATTATCAACGCGGCTATTACTAGAAGCGCGCTACGCGATCCATCTGATATCTGATTCCTATACCGAGCTGCCTGTGTGAACAAATGCTCCTTGAAACTTATCTGTGATCTCAATATTTCTGACACTTTCTTGGACTTTGGTAGAGATTTTGCACTTTTGCCTCCTGATTTACGAATGGTCTCTTGGATTTCCCTAGTCCTATTACTATGTCTTTGATTTTGCATGATATCTAGAGCGGTTAAACCATTTTGGTTATGAATGTTTCTGTTAACCGCTGGTGAACTTAGCAAAAGCTTTATTGCCTTTATTTTCTTATGGTACGTTGCTATGTGCAAGACCGTGTTACCGTTTTCGTCACGTCTGTTCAATACTTGCGTCTCAAGCGATTCGGCATCCATATGACGTAGTCTTTGCACCCATCCAACAAGTACTTCGAGTTCTTCGTATCTATCATTCAAAACAGCAATGTGTAGAGCGGTCTCACCGTTCACATTCACATCTTTAACGCAAGCGGGACAAGCCAATAGGAACTCTGTCATAAGGTCAATTTCTCCTCTTCTTACTAACATATGAAACGGTGTCGTACCTGTTATCAAATTAAGACACAGCCTCTCACACGCACACCATATAATTACGACAAAACATACTCATGACCAAAACCAAGAAATGAGTTTGGTCTAGATATCAAGAAACTTTCTCTTACGTTGATACTCAACCAAAAATCGATAAGCTACTCAGATCAAGACACATATAAGGTTTGACCTATTAGAAATAGAAAACTCCACAAATTCGAACATACCAAACAACAATCCTTTATTACATGGTCACTTGGCCGATACTTAGTTTAACTATGGTGGAATCACACAAGAACTTCTTTATGTAAGGGGAAAAAGTGTATATATACCTTCATTTCCTCGAAGACAAGCTAGGTCAGGATCGAGTTTGAGTAAACCGAGAGTTAAACGAGTTTGGCCTTTCTCTATAGCAAGGTGCAATGGACTCAACCCATATGTGTTAAGTTTTCTAGCAAATGAGGGCTTAAGATTCATCATCTCCATGGCAAACGCAAGATTCCCATAAGCAGAAGCTACATGAAGAGGAGTGTTGATGAAAGGTACGGCATCAATGGTTTCAAGAATGTATGGATCCTCATGTATTAGGGCATACAAGTCATCTATGCTTCCGATTTGAGCCGCGTTGATCAATCTTGGATCCATTTGAGGATAAGTGTGTATTACTTGCATTACTTGGTTTATATTTAGATCGTTGAACTTGACCCATCATTAATATATGATATGCACTTGAAGACTCATCTTTAGTTTAAGGTAAAGGATTTGAGTTTATTTGGCTGAACCAATAGAAGATAAACACTTAAAGAACTCCGAAAGTGACACATCTTTTATTTTTAAAAAGTCTTCGCTTGAAAAAATGACTCAATCCATTGACTTTTACAATCCAATCTCCTCACCTTGGACTTTGTGGGAAATAAATTAATAAGTCGTACACCTCAATGGTTTGTATGCCTTAATTTACTTTTACATTTTTTATCATATATGTTTTTGAGGTTTGATCGTTTAGTAGACGCAAGTACTTGTGGATGTGATAGGTATTGTTGTTTGTTTGGTTGACGCAAATTAACGTTGCGACGAATACAACGTTTTTTATCAGCAATTTGATTCAACGGTCAAAAACATTACTACGTTTACCGCAGTTGTTGCCATATGCGACGACCAAATGAACACGCCCTAAAATACACATTTTAATCAAATTATCAACAAAATGAGATTAAAAAAAAAAAGAGTTAAAAAGGTTATCTTATAATATTTTTTTCCATATAATGTTTATTCTCTTTTCACGCCTTCTTATTTTTTGGTCAATCAGGGAAATTGGGTTATTTTGTGGGCTTTCTTTAATTTAAAACGAGCCATATTTTGAAGGCCCAGATATGATCTTTTATCCATTTTTACTTCCTAGACAACCGCACAACTTCCCTAATTTTATTACACGTGTCACAAACCAAAGACCGTTTCCATGGACACGTGTTCGATCACGTGGCTTTGTTCCAGAGCCGAGCTTCCTTCTACGACAATGGTTTAACTAACCACAGAGACACGAAGAAGAACAAAACTAACAGGAGCCCTTTCACTAGAAATGATGTTTCGATTCAATTTCCGCCGTGAATTCTTGAAATCTACCGGATTCTTTCACCGGAAGTTACATAGCGGTCTAGAAGATGCCGGTCCGATGGCATCTCGGCTTAAATCACGTTCCGTTGTCCGGTTTAGCGGACCGGATACGGTTAAGTTTCTTCAGGGTTTGCTAACCAACGATGTACGGAGGTTCGGTGATTCGTCCGGCGAGAAAAGCTCGGCGGTTCCTACGCCGAACATGGCTTCCGTTTCGACTCCGCCTATGTACGCGGCGCTGCTAACTCCTCAAGGAAGGTTTCTGTACGATTTTTTCTTGTATAGCCCTTCGAGACCCGAGGAGAAGCTTGATCGGACTGGTTCTGGACCCGGGTCTGATTCGGGTCGTGATGGGTCGGTTGAGTTGTTTGCAGATGTTGATGTTGATGTCCTCGACGAATTGCTTGAAACACTCAAAAAGTAAGCTTTTTTATGTAGAGATTTGAAAGATTAGGTATGTTTGGATCACAATTTTGGCAATGTCCTTGGAATTTAGGGTTTATTGAATGTCTAGGATTTGATTTTGCGGACATCTCTATTGGATTTTACTTGAATGATTAAAAAGCTTAGATTTTTAAAAGTTTTTGTTAATTTTAGTGCTGATTTGTGTGTTGTGAATGTTGATAGGTATAGGTTGAGGTCAAAAGTGGATATTGAAAACGTTGCAGAGGAATTTTCGTGTTGGCAACGTTACGGTAGGGGTCTTACTGGATCTTCATCTGTCGGCTGGGGCGGTGGTGTTGATCGGGCTGGTGAAACTACGGCTAGTGGTAATAAGTATGGGTGGCAATGGTATGAGGATCCGAGGTTGGAGTGTCTTGGTTATAGAAGTATCTTCCCTTCTGATGCAACTCGTGAGTTTCTTAATCAGAATAGAAGCTTTTGGTTCTTGAGTTTAAAAGCAAAAGCTTATGAATTTGGGGGTTTTGTTACTTTGTTTGTTTTGCAGCACCTTTAGTTGAGGCAGATAAAGAAACAGATGAAAGCAATTACCTTTTATGGAGATTAGAGCATGGAGTTGCTGAAGGGTCAGCTGAAATTCCTAAAGGTATGATTTTTTTTTTCTTCTTTTTACCTCATTGATTTGATCTCTCTTCTTCTCTGTGTAGTTATAATATGTTTGTGTGGCTTTTACAGGCGAAGCAATTCCGCTTGAATATAATTTTGTTGGTCTTAATGCAATAAGTTTTGACAAAGGCTGCTATGTTGGTCAAGAGCTTATAGCTCGTACTCACCATCGAGGTGTAATCCGCAAACGCTTGATCCCATTACGATTCATCGATAGCAATGGCAAAGGTAAACTAATTTTCTATATTAACAAGTTTTCTTGCACTCTTTTGATCAAGAAATCATGTCTAAACCGAAACTTCTGTATAAACTGCAGAGTTAAACCAGAAAATTGCAGCTGGAGCTGAAGTAGTTGAGTCGGGAACCGGCAAGAAAATGGGGACGGTTTCAACAGCTTTGGGTAGCCGGGGAATGGGTGTAATGAGGGTAGAAGAAGCCTTTAAACCATCAGCTGAACTGATAGTAAAGGACTCAGAGGATGTCAAAGTCGAGGCAATCAAACCAACATGGTGGCCGGCTGAGTGGTTCCAACAGAATCAATCAGGAGTTGCTGCAGCTTAGTAGTAACTACTAAAGGTACAAAGATCTTGTGACTTCACTTGATATAGTTGAAGGATTGAATCATCTTTTGAGTAATGGAAAATTTTGTTCCTTTTGTCAGATCATTTTTTGCAGTTTAAACAAATAAAGTTGAATACTTTCCGGCGACGTATTCTGGATCAAGAAGCTGTCTTTGTTTATGTTAATGGCGGCAACAAGTTCGTAGCTTTCATTGTATTCCACTAATAAAGGTTGAAACTTTCCGGCGAGTTTTAGCCGCCGGATAATTTTGTACTAATTGCTACAAATTTTGTTGTGTCCTCTTTGATAAGTTTCAAGTTATTGAGTTTGGTTGGAGTGGTTTTGTAGATAAAAATGTGGTAAACTTCTAATTATGGTTAATTAAGATTGGTTCGATTCCGGTTAAGTATCGGTTCACTATTTTACTATAATTTCATTGAGAATGGAAAACAGAGACGTCGTTAAGTTTGCAGAGACGGCTCCGGCTGTTTAGGAATCTTCCGTACTCTTTTCCGTTTGTTTCATTTGTAACGCCGTTAAAGTCTGCGTATATAAGCAGCTCATGAGAAAGGATTGTAATTTGTAAAAGTAAAAACGATTTTAGGGTTGCTGTGTTTGGAGTTTTCTGTGCACACAAGTTGTTCGACGAATTGACTGTGAGAGAGAGACTAAGAAAAGACTTGTTCAACATGTCTTTTGAGATGTTTGAAGAACAAAAGCTTCGTAGGAGAGGAGATTACACTATATGGAAGATCAGAATCCTTGCTCATCTTAGTGTTCATGGTTTGAAGGAAGCGTTAAAGATTGAGGAAGAGGATGGAAACAAGTATGTCAAGATAGCTGAAGATGAGAAACTTTTTGCAAATTTGAGTCCAGGTCTTGAAGCCAAGAACAGAAAGGCAAGGAGCATGATCATACTAAGTGTAGGAGATAAGGTTTTGCGAAAGATTATGAAGGAAGAGACGGCTTCTGGTATGTTAAAAGTTCTTGACAAGTACTATATGACTAGTTCTTTAGTAAGGAGGTTTTACTTGAGACAGAAGTTACATAGTTTTAGGATGAAAGAAACCAAGTCTGTTATGGAAAACGTTGATGAGTTTCAGAGGTTGATTGATGAACTACGTAATGCTAAAGTAGTGATATCTGATGAAGAGCAGGCTATATTTTTGTTGATATCTTTGCCAGAGCAATTTGATGCGGTTAGAGATACGTTTACGTATGATAGAACAAGCTTAACATTAGACGAAGTCATTGATGCTGCTATGTCCAAAGAGAAGGAACTAGGTGAAAGTTACAGAGGATATAAAAACAGGTGTAGAGAGAGGTCAAGAACAAGGATTGAAGTAGAGAAGTTTGATGGGAGAAATGATTACAGTTTATGGAAGACAAGGATGCTTGCTCATTTTGAGATTCTTGATTTGATGGAAGCTTTAAAGAATGAGGAGGATGGAAACAAATCTGTTGGTACAGATGAAGGTAAGAATCATTGTGTAGCTTTGAGTCTAGATTTGGAAGAGAAGAAGAGAGAGGCAAGGAGCATGATAATTCAGAGCGTAAAAAATCAGTATCTGCGAAAGAAAATTATGAAGGAGGACTCAGCTGCGGGTATGTTTCAAGTTCTAGACAAACTCTATATTACTAAATCTTCGACTAGCAGGACTTACCTTCGATATAAGCTGTATAGTTTTAGGATGAACGAAAGCCAGTCTGTTGAGGAAAACATTGATGAGTTTGAGAGGTTAGTTGATGATCTAAGTAATGCTAAGGTTTCTATATCTGATGAAGAACAAGCTATACGTTTGTTGGTTTCTCTACCAAATCGATTTGATAACCTTAAAGACGTGCTAACATATGGTAGAACAAGCCTTACACTAGATGAAGTGATTTGTGCTGTACTGTCCAAAGAGTTGGACTTTGGTTCTGTTTACAAAGAGTGTAAAAGCACTGCAGAAAGACTTCATGTAAGAGGCAGGTCTGTTAGTAGAGATCAAACTGCTGGCAATACAGATAGGTCAAAATCTAAAGGAACGAGAGGGGTTTGCTGGATTTGTGGTGAAGATGGCCACTACAAAAACCAGTGTCCATCTAAGGAACAGACATACGAGAAAGGAGAAACATGATTACTAATTTGTGGCTCTACCTTTTATGGAGCATGGAGTTGTGATCGTGATTTCGATAAACCAATCTTTAACAGTTTTACTTAAGAGTGTTTAATTTCAGCAACAGCTTGATGTCAAAGATTTTGATATTAGTTGAGCTTTAAGAGTTGCATGTAAACATAAGTGATGACTTTATTCAAATTTCGAACTTCTCCGTGAAGTGACATGATAGACAATATAGAATCGCATTCACTTTCTTGCTATAGGCACAGAGCTTGTAACACAAAATTAAAAATTTCCAACTTCGATTAGAAACCTTAATGACTAAATTAACCAAAATAGGATGTGCGTGTGACACAAGTTATGCAATAAAAGTATACGAAACCCTAATTTCAATCCTCTGTTCCGATCATCGTTCGTAGAGCACAGTTCGACACAACGGGCAAGTATTTTTCCCGTCGAGCCAATTCAAGAGACAGCGACCGTGGAAGACATGGGAACAACTCATGCGAGTGGGTGTACTCAAAGTGGAGACTAGACTCTCGAGACAGATGGAACACAACTCTGTTTCCATGTTCAAACTCTTCAATTCCTCTGCATCCACCCTCCCCAGTAGAACCATATTTCTCAATGATGGCTTGGTGTTCGACGGAGAAGGATCAGGCATAACATCGACGTAACGCTGATAAGTAAGTACGATGCACACGGTCAATTCAACGCCGTTGCACCCAAAACCTGAGTTGATTGCAGCCGTTGAGATCCTTGGAACTAAGTGATCGCACATCCAATGTTCGGTTCTATGGATTCGATCTTGGAGTAACGTTTGGATTTCGTGGTGGTTACAACTATGAAGGCTGAAATTTGTGGAACCATAGCGATCCGGTTCTGACTTTAGCAAAAGATGGTGGCCTGTGGTTGGGTTTACATAGATCTCATCCTTTGTGGCAGTGATGATGAGGAGGACTGAGCTTGTGTCTCCTTCTGATGGAGAGAGTCTTCTCGCTTGAACGTGGATTTCCACTACTGGTTCGGGAATGGGATCATTCATGTTTGAGAGCAAATTAAGAGAGAATGGAGAGTTTGTGAAGCTTTAGGGTTACGTAGTTATATATATATACAGTAAAACCTCTATAAATTAATAATGTTGGGACCATGAAAATCTATTAATTTATAGAGGTTTTAATTTATCGATAAATTAATAATTATTAATTTATAGAGAGATTTTTTTAATTTAGAAAGTTTTTTCAAAAAAATATTTAAAAATAAAATTTAATTATGATAATTAGTATTTTCTATAATCATTAACAAAGAAAATAATAATTATTATGTCTTGAAAGAGAATTCTAACAGTTTTGATATAGTAAAATATTAGAAATAAAATCTAACAAAAAATAATGTGTCTATATATACATATATTTTAAAAATTTTACCTAATTATTAATTTATAATATTGATGGGACTATATATTTACAAAGGATTTTCAAAAAAATTATTATCTTATTATTTTATCGAAATGTGTCTAAAATTACATTGGTCCCAACTTGGGACCAGAAAATTTATTAATTTATAGAGATTATTAATTTATCGAGTATTAATTTATAAAGGTTTTACTGTATATAAGCGTGTTCTCAGGTTCTTGTTTTCCTTTTTCTATTCTTTGTTACCTAAAAGTTTCCTTTTATTTCGTGGCTAAGAAGTTAATTTCCTTTTTCTTTTTGTACTTGGTTTAGAAGATATGTAGAATTTACTAATTATTAGAACCAATGTTAATTAGATTATATGATTCAACCTAGTCATAATGTAGTAATTGTTAATATTATCTAACTTTGTTTGGAGACTAGCAAACAGATTATTTTCAGATATTAAAATTTTCAATCGTTTAAAACCTTTTATAAAAAAAGAAAACACAACACAAAATTACATTCATATTACACTAAGAGCATCTGACAAAAAAAATTAGAATTTCTAATATGAATTGGAAACATTAACATATAACAAAATTACAGTAAAATTTTTTTTTATGAAAAAGAAAGCGTGTGGCCCAAGTTGTGCAATAACCCCTAATTTCAATCCTTTGTTCCAAATCATGGATCGTAGAGCACAGTCCGACACAAGGGACAAGTGTTTTTACGCTTGAGCCATTCCAAGAGACAGCGATAGTGGAAGACATGGGAACAAGTCATGCGTGTCATGAAGTCGCTAGGTTTCATCGGACCGGAGAGATTCTCGAGACAGATGGAACACGACTCTGTTTCCATGTTCGAACTCTTCAACTCATCTGATTTGATCCTCCCTAATAGAACCATCCTCAAATATTTCTCTTCGTTCGACGTATACGAGACGGTCTGGTAAGTAACTTTGACCTCCAAGGTCAAGGTAAAGCCGTTGCGTCCAAAACCTAAGTTGATTGCAGCCGCTGAGATCTCTGGCGCTAATCGATCCGACAACCCATGGTAGTTAGCGGATCTTCGATTATCGAGAAGTGATCGGATGTCGTGGACACTAGAACTATGGAGGTTGATAGTGTCGACAAAAGATGTTGTAAACCTAGTGGACCGTAGGGTTTGGTACTGACCTGTTGTTTGGTTTACAGAGATCTCTTCGAGTCTGGTCTGGACAACAACGAGGACTGAGTTTAGTTCTGGTGATGTAGAGAGTTTGTTTGAACTTTTGATGTGAAGTTCCACTTTAGTAGTATTCATGTTCTTAAACGCGTAGAGACAATCACAGAAATATTCAGAAGAGATCGAGTCACACAAAGAAGAAGACTTTGTGATCTCGTAATGAGGAGCAATGTTTGAGAGAAGAGAATTGTGAAGCTTTAGGGTTAGGTTTAGTGAGAGTATATAGATAGGCTTCTTCAACGGTTAGGTTTAGTTTCCTTTTCACTTAAGAAATTTCCTTTTCACTAAGAAATTTCCTTTATTTATTTATTTGGTATTTTGTAATTCCAGGTGGATATGTAACTTTTAATTTTATCCTTTTTGATTCATCCTATTAATGTATCCACCTCTTTTTTCAATAAAAAAAATATTATTTTAACAAATATCAGTTTATAAGAAAATGTTATTTTAACATATTTTACTCAATTTTTTTAAAAGTTATTATTTACTACTAGTTTGTTTTGATTTACCTGAATTAAAAATGAGAGTCAATGGGGTTTGTCAACCATTATTATAAGGAAATCAATGCCCAAAAGAAACATAAATTCCCGTTTAAATGATCTTTGTCTTTAGCCGTAAATACTTAAATTATCTGATAAACTGTTTTCTAACGACATTTCAAATTCGGGCTATTTACGACAAAAATAAAATTTATAACGGATCTATTAGAAAAAATTAGTTGGACCTTTTTGAAAAGAAAATAACACAAAATTACAACGCGTTCCAAAAAAATTTGATCTAATTTTTTTCTTTTCGGTTTGCTCTATAAGACAAATCGTGCTCGAACAAATATAGAACTACACATTCTTTAGTTACTGACATTATGGTATCAAAATCTTATCATCTAAATCCATCCAAATGAAAATATCTAATAGTAAATGATTCAATACAATTGGTATATGAATACGAGACATAAGAATTTACGTCCATAAACAATAACGTGAAATTTTTGAGGACACAGACAAAAATTCATTACAATTTCCTTTTTTTTTTTTTAATATACAGAAAAAACCTATACAATCACTTCGATTCTAGTCTCCATTTTTCTTCTCTTGTGATAACCAAAAAAAAGTTTAGCTCCAATATTTTCATCTTAACTTTTACACCATTTTTACCGCATATATTTTTGTCATTTAACTAATTTAATAGTCTGTAAAAATAGATAAATCAAACCAAAATCCAAATATTCCTTTGATTTTTCTTTTATTTTTTATTTTATTTTTGTAAACCAAATTGGCTAAATCTAAATCAACCATGTGAAAAGATGTTAAGATAAGCATGACCAAATTACATATGTGAGTTGGAAACTGAGACTGACTGCTACACTCACGGCGTCAACGTTGACAGTCAGTTGATACTTGATATCAGAGACTCTGTTATCTCGCCGTTAAATCTCTGTGTCTAAAAAAAAATTATTTGGGAAGAAGAGCAAAGAGCGAAAAAAAAAAAAAATTAAAATACACAAATTTTTGATTAGATTTGTATTTGATCGTTGAAAATCTCCGATCGGCCATGAAAGGCGTCTCTTCGACGCCTGGAGATTACGTCTACTTCAAATCTCAGGTTCCTCTTCACAAGATTCCCGTAAGTTTCTTCTTCTTCTTCTTCCTCCTCCTCGCTCTCTTTGACCTTTGATGAGATTTTTGATTCTGCATACGATGTTTTGAAAAAAAGTATGTTAATTTTGGATTAATCGCTTATGGGTTTTAATCGTTTGAAGCTAATTCTTGATTTTGAGTAGTTGAAAATCGTATATTGGGTTTTATGCAGCTGAAATTTACATGATCTGGGTTTATACTTTACGCTTATGGTTTTTTGATTGAAACCCTTTTTCTTAGGTTTATGAATACATTTGGATTTAGCTGTCGTTTCTGATGTTTACTTAAGCTGATTCATTTTTGGGTTCTTGTTGTCTAAAAGCAAAGAACTTGTGATAGTCTTAAGTTTAGTGATAGTCTTTAGTTTAGCGATAGTTGTTTCTTTACGTTTTGATCTTTTTTGAACTTGTATAGATTCCTCTAAGGTTGTTTTTGATTTGAACTGTGAGTAACATTCACCACCCTTAGTGCTTGCATCTTAAATTGTCACTTTGTCAGAGATGATAATCACTCTCATTGTGTAATACAAGGGAATGTTCTTGAGATTCTTGTTCTGCTTGATAAGTAAAAGTTATTTATCAAGCAGTCTTGCATAGCTCCTATAAATGTGACAGGTTTATCAGGTTTTGTTGCTTCTAGTTTGGAAAAATTGTGATTTGTTAAGCTGTGTACATGTGACACTCTTGTGAATAGCCTGTGATACACTTGTGAATGGTCTTTCGTTATGCCTACCTTCAAGCTCTACTAAACATTTCTTAACAAGCAGTTATTGAATGTATCATATTATAAGATTTTGTTGCCTCTAGTTGGGAGAATCATAATTTTTGGAATGTCAATTCACTCAAAGAGAATAGACAGTCTTATATTGAGATTTTTTGTGCATATTAACTACAGATTGGGACGAAGCAATGGCGTTACTATGACTTTGGTCCAAAGACTGTTCCTCCGCTCATATGTATCCCTGGAATCGCTGGAACTGCAGATGTTTACTATAAACAGATTATGGCACTCTCTATGAAGGTATGCCAAATTTGTAGTCTTTGAACAATGATCTGGAAACAAGCTTTTTAGTTATCACTTGTAGCTTTAAACATTTTTTAGGATACGGTAGGTAATATGCTTATATGTTGCTGTGTCCTTGGTGACTGACTATATATCTTGAATGTTGTTAAATCTGCGATTCTAGGGTTATCGGATCATTTCAGTTGACATACCACGGGTTTGGACATACCATGAGTGGATTCAAGCATTTGAGAAATTCTTGGACACCATTGATGTTCATCACGTAAGATCTCTTGAAGTTACAAATCACCATCTAGGACTCTAATTCGTATTACTAATGTGGAAAGATATAACATTGTAATTGATTGTACTTAACTATTGTTAATAGGTGCATCTCTACGGTACTTCCCTTGGAGGCTTCTTGGCACAACTCTTTGCTCATCACCGTCCAAGACGGGTTAAATCATTGGTTCTGTCAAATACATATTTGGATACTCGCACTTTCGCTACTGCAATGCCATGGGCTCCGTTGTATGTCTCTTATATATTATTGTTCGTTCCATCTTTGTCGTTCTTGTTTGGGCCTAAGAATTTGTACTGACTCTCAACACTTTCGGGGTTTCACTGTGCAGTGTTAGTTGGACTCCTTCTTTCTTGCTGAAACGATATGTCTTAACAGGAATACGTGACGGACCTCACGAACCCTTTATTGCTGACTCTGTCGACTTTGCTGTTTCTCAGGTGGTTCCCCCGATTATTATCTTTCGTATTTTCTTAAACGGATCTGAATAACATGTAAAGAAGGTTTTGTAAGTGAACTTACCATCTAAGTTCCTTTGGTTTACTCTGATTTAGGTTGAGACATTGTCCAAAGATGATTTGGCTTCCCGGTTAACTTTAACAGTGGATGCTGCTTCTGTGGGATCTATACTACTCTCTGACTCGTCCATCACTATAATGGATGTAGGTTTTGAGTAACTCTATCTTGATTTTTTATTTTTTTTTGTGAATGCAAGTTTTTAATTGTCTGATATATGCTGTTGCTGTCCTCTAAATTCAGACGAATGATTACTGTGCAATTCCACAACATCTTAAAGATGAACTTACAGAGAGGTACCCCGAAGCAAGGAGAGCTTACTTAAAGACAGGAGGAGATTTCCCATTCCTATCACGGCCCGACGAAGTCAATTTGCATCTACAGGTATATATATAAACTCAGCATCTGAACCAAATTTCTTATGCGTTTACGTTTTATTGTACAAGAAGTCACTTGCTACAGAAACATCATGTTGTTGCATCAAAACATATAAACGCTGACTGAACATGATAATTTGCAATGTGTGTGTGTGTAGCTGCACCTAAGGCGGGTAGGAGTAGAACCAAAGCCCGAAGTGGTCAAAACCATTTCAAAAGACGGTGCAGATGGCACAGACAGTAGCAGCCAGAGCAAAAAGAATACTGACACCGACAAGGATGACAGTAACAACAATATGCCTGAAGGGTCCGGAAGCACATCTTCAGATCAATCACCAACATTTCCAGAAAGCTCGGGGAGCTCCAACGATCCGCCTTTACCGACAGACACCATTCCGTTGCAAAGTTCATCAATAGACACCCTCGTATTAGCACAACTCTCTGGTGAAGTATATCAATCATGTGTGCTTTTCACATTGTGTTACTGTACATTGGTTTTGGTTCATGGTGGTTTCATCTCCAGACAATCGGTTTAGTATTCTTCATTATTTATTACCTCTTTAACTGTTCAAATCTGTTTTGTTTTTATAAAACTTTTGTGTTTCTTGATCTGTTTTGGTTTCTCTTGACTTTTGTGTAAGTTTGACAGACAAAGCAAGAGTTCTTTGTATGTTTCAAGTTACTGAAAGAAATGTTTGGTTGGGTTTGCGATTAATATACCAATGTTTCTCGTGTGTCCAGAACTGATTTAGACGAAACTAGTGTTACTGTTACCTGGTGTGCTAGCTTCCAAATCGAGCTCCAATTCTTGTTACATTGAGAAATCTACCGACTCTAGAAGTAAGACCATCTTTAATGGAGGTATCTTAGCCAAATCTTAGACTAAGATTTGTGAAGAAAAGGATCTTATATAAGGATTTGGCTTAGATGCTACCATTAAGGATGCCCTTAGAATACAATCCTTAACATGGTTTACTTGCTGCGGGCGACATCATCAGTATTATGAGTAGTACCACATGTTATTTTATGTGTACGAAGGTTACAAGTGAGGAAACGGTTGCGGTCTAAGTCCCATAGGTAGATGATATTGATGTCAAAACAGTTGATTGCCACTGGGATACACTTAGAACTAAGCCCTACATGCACATGCCATGTTGATTTCCGATGCCTTTTCCCAGTTCCAAGAATCACTATTGAGTCTCCAACACTCCATGACCTGGGAAAGTGACTTGTTCAACACTCCATTCACCCGTATCCGATGAGAAAACCTGAAAACTCCATTTGGGAGACTTGTGTGCTTTGCTATGTATCCGAACTACCTTGTAACCTAAGAGGGCACCATTACGCATTCGTGTGACAAGTCCAGTATCAGAGTAATGAACTAATGATCAGGATACGGATAAGCGTCTCTGGAGGAGGAGGAAGTTGAATCCACTGTGCTAACACTGGATTCCCAACGTAGTAACGTATCATCACGTCGTTGTTGTCGTCCTCCTTCTCCTTGAGAAGTATAAAAGAGCTGCGAGGAATTAGGTTTTTCACATGTATAATAGGAGTCACAAAGCCTGACTGAAACATGACATTTTGGGTGCTTAAATAATGAATTAAAAATCTTACTTAAAAAAAAAAAAAAAAAAACAAAAGAGAAAACATAGAGCATGAATTAACAATATCAAAAGCATCTTGAGTCTTTCTATGTATGTATGGCTTGTAAGGTCGGCACAAACTGCAAAAGACTATAACGTGACTCGTGGCAGAAAGTATCTTCCTTGTCGGCGGTGACATCTTTACGAGTACCACATAATTTCTTATGTGTACGAACGTTACAAGCGAGGAAACAGTTGTGGTCTAAGTCCCATAGGTAGATGATGTTGCTGTCAAAAAAGTTTATTGCGATTGGAAGACACTTAAAGCCAAGCCCTACACTTGCCATGTTGATTTCCCATACCTTTTCCCAGTTCCAAAACTCAGTATTGAGCCTCATGACTCTAACATTATAGCTCTTGACCTCTTCTACATATCCAACATCAATAATAACAAAATATCCTTGCGAGGTGGTGCAGATCCTCTTACAACGTTGCCACTCAGTGCTTTGAGTCCTGCGGGGTAGTGGTAATACTCGAAGAACTTGATCATCACAAGAGAAGAAATCATGAACGATAACACGGCTAGACTCTAGCCAATGAAGTTTCCCATTTAAAGAAACAGGATTGGATGGGTTGCACATACCAACACCATGACCCGGACAAGAGACTTGTACAACACGCCATTTACCCGTATCCGATGAGAAAACCTCAAAACTCCATTCCCAAAAATAAGAACGGTTCCATGACTTGTTTTTTATCCGAACCACCTTGTAACCTAATAGTGCACCATTACGCATTCGTGTCACAAGTCCCGTATCAGAGTAATGACTAGGATATGTATGAGCGTTTCTAGGAGGACGAGAAGAAAGAGGGAGTTGAATCCATTGTGCTATCACTGGATTCCCAACGTAGTAAACCATCTCGTCCTCCTCTTCCTTGACACGAAGCAAGACCAACCCATCAGCACAAGACACAACCCTAATCTCTTTCACCTTCTTCTTGCTTTGACTAGAAACACTAGAAAACAACAAATTATAACTTTGATGGTGATGTGTACCATCATGACCATCATGTGGTAGATCGAGTTTAACTTCCTCCAACTTGGAATCTTCCGATTTATAGTTCCCGTAAAAGATGATTGACCAATTAGAGTTACGGCAGAGGTCGACGAAGTAGGCTGATCCCATTAACAACTTCCATTCTATACAAACTAACTTGAACCTAACAATACTTTGTAGCGGTAGTCTTGTGAGTATGTTGATTACTATATCTTCCGGAAGATTCATATCTCTCTCCTTCGTTTTCTTATTTTGTTTTACCATCCTTCTTTGTTTCTTTTGAGTTTTGTATTACATGAGTTAGGGTTTTTTTTTGGGTTTATATATGAGTTAGCTAGGGTTTTTTCAGTTTTTTTTTATTGATCAAAGAAGAGTTACCTTTATATATCTTAAAATACTAAAAGAAAACGTTCTCTTTACTTAATTAAAATTTTACTTACTAAAATTTTGACTATATTAACCATATATGAGTTCATCGACATTCTGATTTTGTGAAGATATTGTCTTCTTCCTCCGAGTGACAAGTGTTCTCTATTAATCTGGATGACATTATTGTTGATAAAGAGAAATTCTCTACTTTCTCGTTATCTTTTATTATTCGAAATGCAAATTTTTAAGCGGATAAATTGGCATGAAAAATCCGTTCTAATTTATATTTTATTAAGTATGTAAACAATTGTCCTCTCAATTAGCTTTGTTCATTAGTTTTTGTTAGAAAAAAACCATATATGAGTTAATCAGTAGAAATATGTATATACAGTATCTCCTGTGAACATTGGTGTTTTTGTTCCCTAATAAAGTTAAGGAAGAAATTGTAAAAGCTACAAAATTGAGGGTTGTATTTTTATAGCTTTTAGATTTTGGATCCGGGTCGGGTATGTAAATTCTAGGATTTTATTCGAAGCATCCGTCGTCTCCGTCAATTCGAGAATTCCGACGATGTTCTCAAGATTCGTGCAGAGAATTCGGAGCCCCAAAACCCAAATCACATCGCTCAGTTCAATCAAAGGTTTTAGCTTTAGCTTTAGCTCGATAAACCCTAAACCCCAAATCCGAACAGGGTTGTTCTGGGATCTAGACAACAAACCACCGGCCTCTTTTCCGCCGTACGACGCCGCCGTAAAGCTTCGAACCGCCGCGTCGTCTTTCGGATTCGTGAAGCTAATGGTGGCGTACGCGAATCGTCACGCCTTCAGCTACGTTCCTGTAGTAGTTCGAGAACAGAGGACAGCTAGGAAAGTGCTGAACGAATTGGAGAACACAGGTTTGGTTAAACCGCCGGAGCCGTACTTTTGCGGTGTTTGTGACCGGAGATTTTATACGAATGTGAATCTAATCAATCATTTCAAGCAGATTCACGAGACTGAGCATCAGAAACGTATGAGGCAGATTGAATCTTCTAAAGGACATCAAAGAGTGAGGCTTGTGGCTAAGTATTCGATGAAGATTGAGAAGTATAAAAGAGCGGCGAGGAAGATTTTGACTCCCAAGGAAGGTTATGGGTTAGCTGATGAGCTGAAAAGAGCTGGCTTTTGGGTAAAGATGGTGAGTGATAAGCCAGAAGCTGCTGATATTGCTTTGAAGGAGCATATGGTGAATGTTATGGATAAGAGAGAAGTGGAGTGTGTGGTTCTTGTGTCTGATGATTTTGGTTATGCTGATGTTTTGAGGGAAGCTAAGGAGAGGTGTTTGAGGACAGTTGTGATTGGGGATTTGAACGAAGGGGCGTTGAAGCGAGTTGCTGATGTTTCGTATTCGTGGAAGGAAGTTGTGATGGGGAAGGCTAAGAAGGAAGTTGAGAAGGTTGTGGGAAAGTGGAAGGATAGAGATGTGTTGAAGACTTTGGAGTGGACTTATGATCCTGCTTTGGAGAAAGAGAGAGGAGGTTCTTGCGGCGTTTGGGATTACGATTTTGATTATGATGATGACGAAATTGAGAATGGAACAGAGGTGGAACCGGTGGAGATTGGAGATGGTGGTGATTGGTGGAAGATAGATAATGAAGATTGTGTTGGATCTTCAAGACCTTGTCGATAACATCATAGAATTGTCGGGATTGCTTGCGCAGAGGAAGATGAACAACTTTCAAGGCAAGAGGTTCACAAAACTTCATGCTACAGAACAATCTTGTGAATCTATTGGCAGATTACCTACACTTCAGACTAGAGAACATTCATTGATTCTTGTTCTCTGAGATTGATTTTAGTGCAGTGAATTGATTTGTTCTTCCAAAACCATCATGGTTAATCAAGTGTTTAGAGCTATGCATAATTTGGTCAGAATATAGAAGATAAAGATATGTTTTTGGATTTAGAAAGAAACAAGGTGACAAAATAGATTGAAATACTATAGAAGTATAGAGTATATGCATCAAAATCCAATCTACTTTATTCTTCAGACATAATGGAGAAGACAATTGAGTTTCCACAATTGAAACACCTAAGTTATGAAGCTGTACATTGCTCAAAATCTACTAACAAATCAAATGAAGCAAAATCTAGCAACACAGAAACAATGCAGATATGTGAATAGCCTTTATGTTGAGAACAAAGTGTTTGTCCCTTGACAGTGGAGCCATTTTTCCTCGCGACGCAAGTGCTCGGTTCCAAAAACTTATGCTCCACATTCAAGAAGAAGAAACAGAGAGACCATGACTATAGCAGAGAGACAGAGAGAGACTTCACCAAGAACTCTTCTTCTTCGACGAGCCTGTGTAAAAACCCATATACCATTTCACAAACTTCTTCAGACCTGTCTCAAGATCAACCGTGGGTTTATACCCGAGCTCTGCTTGCGCTAACGTGATATTCGCATGAGTGAACTCGACATCCCCATTCCTCGGTAAAGGCATAATCTTTTTCTTAGCTTTCGTCTTCAAAAGCTTCTCCAATATAGTCACAAGCTTAGTAACAGGAACAGGTGAAGTATTCCCCAAATTATAAATCCTAAACATAGCAGGACCTTTCTTCTTCCCACCACTACCAGTACTCTTTTCAGCAGTATCTAAAGCACCCAAACAGCCTTTCACAATATCATCAATGTAAGTGAAATCCCTAGCAACACTACCTTTATCAGGAGACTCAAACACAGTAATCGTCTTCCCTTTAAGAATATCCTTAGTAAAGAAGAAATACGCCATATCTGGTCTACCCCAAGGTCCATAAACAGTGAAAAACCTCAAACCCGTAAGTGATAAACCATAGATATGGTTATAAGTATGAGCAATTCCTTCACCTGCTTTCTTCGTCGCTGCGTATAAACTCGCCGGCTGATCCGTTCGATCTTTCTCCGAAAAGGGTACTTTCGAATTGAGACCATAAACAGAGCTAGACGAAGCCCACACAATCGCAGGCTGAGGATTCGCCGATTTAGACACTTCTAACAGATTCACAAACCCAGCAATGTTACTGTTCACATACGATCCTGGGTTTTGCATTGCGTAACGCACACCAGCTTGAGCAGCGAGATGCATCACATGTGTGAAGAGGACAACATCAAAGAGCTTCTTTAGCAAAACGGCGTCGTTTATATCGCCTTCTACAACAAACACGCCTGATCGTTCCAAAAGCCCTTGTCTTGCTCGTTTAAGCTTCGGATCGTAGTACCGATTGAAATTGTCAAGACCCAGAACACCGTCGCCGCGTCTCCGCAACGCGATCGAGACGTGAGTACCGACGAACCCAGATGCTCCGGTGACTAAAACCGTTAAACCGCCGTGAGTCCTCGGACGAGCGGATTTGCGGACTTGTTTCTCCCAGTGAGAGCCGCCGTACTTGGCGGCGGATACGGAGGAGGAAGAATCGTTGAGATTCCGGCGAGACGGTGACGGAGGAGGGGATAGGATTAGGTAAAAGAGAAAGAGAGCGAGGAAGAGAGAAGCCCAAAGAGTGAGTTTCGAGAGACGGAGGTAACGGTGGTGGTGGAGAATCCAGTACGGCGGAACTTTATCGGTTTTGTACTTTCCGGGAGTAGGAGGAAGATCATCAAGGTGTGACATTTTCGCCGGAGAATTCAGAGATTTTAGGGTTAGGGTTGTTGTTGGGTATAAGAGAGATTGAAGAAGCAAAATTGAGCAAGTCAAAATTGAGTATTTTCCGGGAAAGAAAGAAGAAGAGACGATTTGATTTTTTTATTTTTCTTTATTAAGATAAAATCAGAAAAAAGGTTTATATATAAATAAATTTTCTTGTTCAATCTTTAAGTGATGGTAACAAAAGCTGTCAGAGATTTATTTATTAATTAGATTCATGTATATATTTTTTTTTTTTGGTTTTTTCAATGTTAACGTGTTTGTAGATCGTTGACGGTTGACATCTGTATTTTGTTATCTCATTCTTTATTGATCATGTTATGCATGTACATTTGTACACGATCACAGATTCTGAGATACTATATTATAAATGCTATATTAATTGTTTCATATACAAAGATTTTCTATTTAGTTCTAAGTTTCTATCGGTAATGAAAACCGAAAATATAACGATATATAAAAATAAAATAGTTTAAAGATATTAAAGTAGGTATTAGTTTTGTTAATATTTCATTTCTGTATATGTTTTAATATCAAATAATTATATTACACTAATTACTATACATTGATCAAAACAAAACAAAAAATACGCGAAATGATGATAAAAGAGTTATAAAAAAATAATGATCAAATATGAATATTTATATTGTTTTTTTTTGTGAATATCAAATATTTATATTTTACTATTTACTATTAATCAATCAAAACAAAAAAATAATATGATTAATGATGATAAACTTGTTAAAAAATAAAAAAGTAACGGTAAAATATGAATAATTAGTTAGTTTTGTTAATATTTCTTTTTTATTAATTATTAATAATTATTATATTCCACTACTTACTAAAACTTATAGTAAAAAATTAAATTAATAACCTTTTATTACGTATATTTTTAATTATTTTACTTATTTACTATTATTTCACACATGCATAGTGGTATTGAAGGTGTCGTGCGAAAAAGATTGATCAATGGCAATGCCAACAGAAGCTACAATGTTCAATGAGTTATGAAATTTGTTGGCACGGAGAAACTCGTTCAAGATGGGAAAAACTAAACGTATGGTAGATCCATGTTTACTAATTCCCACCAAATGATGATATTCCTAAAATCTTTTATTTTACTGGGACGGAATCTAGTCCTTCTTATAAAAATCCAGGCTTCTTCGACATGCTCAACATTAATGTTAAACTAAAATTTTAAAATATCAATACTACTATTAGAAATATGGATTGGCGAGGTAAAAAAAATCAATTTGTATGATCAACATTAATACAGTCATTGGATTATTTATAAGATTTTGTTTCCCAATATATAATTTAGAATAAAAAACAAAATATTACAAAATGATACATACTCATGCTTGTTTATTGTAAAATTTGCACATATTTTTGCTATGGTTTTTTACTGACTTTAGTAGAACACTACTATATTTGTTAAAATTATTACAACATATAGTTAGGTGTATGGAGAAATTTTTGTGCATAATGTTTTAATTTCTTAAAGTTTATTTGTAATTGAAATGCTATGTAATGCTCTTTGTCAATGGGATTTAGATATTATGTTATAAATAGTATGATAAATGATAAACCAAATAGTTTTAAAATACAAAATACCAATGAAATACAAATGGTAGTTTTTCTTGACATCCGAAATATGAATAGTAGTTGTATCGCTTTTGATTTAGTTAACAAGCAATCATCTATGTCTTGATCATTTCCACATTTACAAATGAGTGAAATAATATACTAATTTAATTCTAAAAATTTTATTTTCTTGACGGAACTAATTTTGTAATGCAAACTAATTATTGCTTTAGTTTAGTACATGATTGTTATATTTCACCTAACTATTAGTTTCAACGTTGGACGAAAATTCATGTCTTCTAATCTTTTTTTCCTCACTTTCTATTCTTAGCCATATAGTATAGCTTTAAGAACAATTCATCTAAAAAATGATATACAAAGTATACGAATTATTAGGATAACAATATCACATATTAAAAATTGAGTAAGCATTGATATTTTATCAACTTATTATGAGCTAAGATATCTAAGAAGTGGAATCATTTACTACCAAAACATCGTTCACGCCACATACAATTTATTTATTGCACAAGATTCTAAAATATTTAAAAGACGTGTTGCTTGTAGTTCTGATATATGTACCATCGTTATAGATTATGAGTCAATTTTAACCGATATTAATATTGTGATGCATGAATGGATTTTTACCATTAAAAGTCTCAAATGGAGTCTAAAACGAAAAGTCATAAAATATGATATAATCTTATTCCTAAATGATACGTTATATGTATCTATATTTTCTCAACCAAAAAGTTCCAAGTTTTGACGATTTATCATTATGAAATCTAATACATGTTTTTTTTTCTATTTCTCCTCTCTATAGTCTCTACCATCGAAAAATTCGATTAACAAAAATATATCCCATAACGAAAGAGCAGCATTATTGGTGGGATCTTAGAGGTTAAGATCTCCCGGTTTTTGCAAAAGAAAGATCTAATATAGGATCTTTCCTTTGCAAAAACCGGGGGATCTTAGCCTTTAAGATCCCACCAATAATGATGGTGCATTGTTAGAAACAGAGTACTCTTTTAACTTGGATTAAAAAACAAGTCATCTTCTTATTTAATTTCTGTTCTTTTCTCTTAAGTAACCATCCACTCATTTACATACATTTAATTGAAAATGAAATAAGAATTATAAACTAACCATTTTGTAATCTATTTGATTGACTACAACATGTCGAATAAGAACACTTGATTTTGAATGATTATCATTATAGCAGTTACCACAATATGTTTTTGCACACACATGAAAATAAAATTAGAGAAAATATAAAAGAGTATATATTGGGATAAGAAAATTTAAAGTCAAAGGAAAGATTGCTTAGAAACTTGGCGAGGTTAATTACTATTATTCCTATTGATTTTTTTTTTTTTTGGTAAGAATTATTCCTATTGATTAAGGATCATTTTTAATATTTTTTTATAGCCGAAGCTTAATTATACTTTCGTTATGGGATATATTTTTGTTAATCGAATTTTTCGATGGTAGAGACTATAGAGAGGAGAAATAGAAAAAAAAACATGTATTAGATTTCATAATGATAAAAGTTGTTAAAACAAATTCACATGAAACCTAAAAAGAATCTACCAACTCAACTATATTTTTTTATGAGTCACTTCCTAAAGAGTCATTTCCAAGCAATACAGATTACATATGTCTTGTGTGTGTGTGTGTGTGTGTAATATAAGGTGCTGAAGATTCAGATTTATGCATTGGAAGCAATAACTGATAAAGACTTGAGGAAAATATTTTGATTGCTCATGAGAATATAAGTTCATATTGTAGTGTGTTGGTCATCACTTATTCATCAAAAATAGTCATGGTTATGTCATCATCATTGAAACACCTTAGTACTAACGGGCCTTTCTCACACTTATGTTGCCACGATCCACAAGCCTATCTATATTCTAATAAGCCCATTTCGTTTCCCTATTGGTGGTTTTTGATTTTTCCCCATGTTACTTTTATAGGCATGACCCAAATCACAAACTGTAATTTGTACTGTTTTGTAACCGTAAACCAAACCGGATCTTACAAAATGGATGTGTTGATCTTGATCACTGTAGTGCACTGGTGCTCAACATTTGTTGAAGTCGTTGTGTTTGGTCATATTCAATTATTCAACTGCCCTGAAGCATTGAACAACGTGTCCGGCCCCTGGATTACAAGTTGAGAATATCATAAACGTTCTTCTTGTTTGTTTTAGCCTCCTCAGTAACAGTACCAATCCTAGTGTCTTGGTCTATTTAAGTAGGTTATGAAATGAATAAACAATACTACACTCACGTTACTCAAACCTGAAACCAACTGTGATCTAGAGAGAGAGCTACCAAGTACCATGGAGCCAAAACTCTGTTCCGGTTTGTTTCTCCTCATTGTCACGGCTTGTTTCATCCTCTTACTCACTTCCACTAACTTCTCTCACGAGCCATCGTCCACGTACTGCACCAACTCTTCCTCTTCACCTCTTTGCGCCTCAAGAAACTTCCTTTTCAACAAGAAAACTCGACCCATTACTAAAAACGTTCCCAAACCAAAACCTAAAAACCATGACCACGTGTCTGACACACCAAACCATCCTCTTGACCCACTCACGGTAATGGAGATCAACAAAGTCAGATCAATCCTCTCCTCTCACGCCCTCTTCGCCTCCCCTGCACCACACTCGTTTCACTCCATCGTTCTTGAAGAGCCAGACAAGAACCTAGTCCGACAATGGGAAAAAGGAACCACACTCCCACCAAGAAAGGCCTCAGTGATCGCACGTGTTGGCGCCGACTCGCACGTGCTCACCGTTGACATATCTACAAGTTATGTAGATTTAGTGGATAGCCCGGTTCATGCACCCGGTTACCCGATTATGACGTTGGAAGAGATGGCTTCTGCCACATGGGCACCGTTCACAAACGAAGATTTCAACCGTACAATACTATCCCGCGGAGTTGATCTTACGGACGTGATTTGTTTCCCAATCTCTAGTGGCTGGTTTGATAATAAAGAAGGAAACAGAAGGTTAATTAAAATTCAATGTTTCTCAACTCAAGGTACGGTTAATTTCTACATGCGACCTATCGAAGGTTTAACACTACTCTTCGATTTAGACATAAAGCAAATACTCGAGACAACCGATACTGGTCGGTCTATACCAATACCCGGTTCAACCAATACCGATTACCGTTTCTCAAATCTCCCAAACCGGGACAAAACCAGACCTCTTAATCCAATCTCAATCGAGCAGCCACGTGGTCCAAGCTTCGTAATCGAAGATAACCATCTAGTAAAATGGGCAAATTGGGAGTTTCACTTAAAACCGGACCCGAGAGCCGGTTTGGTTATATCCACGGTTAAGGTGCATGATCCGGACACTGAAGTGTCACGTGAAGTTATGTACAAAGGGTTCGTGTCGGAGCTTTTTGTTCCGTACATGGATCCATCGGAAGCTTGGTACTTCAAGACTTATATGGACGCAGGCGAGTACGGGTTCGGGTTACAAGCAATGCCGCTTGAACCGCTTAACGATTGTCCAAGAAACGCCGTTTATATGGACGGAATATTCGCGGCGGCTGACGGAACGCCGTATGTGAGAGAGAATATGATTTGTGTGTTTGAGAGGTACGCCGGCGATATTGGATGGCGTCACTCCGAGAACCCCGTCACCGGCATGCCGGTAAGTTTTTTTTTTTTTCTTTTGTCTTTTCTGTTTATTTAAATATTATCACGTGTTGAAAATTTCACTGCGACATTAACATACCAAATCACGTTTTAAGTTTTTTTACACTTTTTTTGGTTGGGTGACCAACTTTGTTAAAAATAGGAAAATCAGATCTTACCTAATCAATTTTTTTGTATCTATTATATTTACCTAAAGACACGTTTACAAATTTTAAATTCATAAATATATTGCCATACATTATATGATTTCTGTATTTGATAAATATAATAAATTTTCCAAATTCACAGAAATTCAAGTATTTGAAAGGGTATTTCTTAAATAGTATAATGAACAAAAGCCTACATTGATATTTACATAGACAAATAAATAAATTTCTAACGAACGTTTTGTATTTCTTATTACATAAAAATATTATGTCAAAAGCATAAAGACATGTATACATACTTAAATAATATGCTGCTACTCACATGTTCATAATGTAAGATAAATGTATTATTTACGATTTATTTGTGTAGCCGTTAAGGGAAGTGAGACCAAAGGTGACGCTAGTGGTACGAATGGTATCCTCAGTGGGTAACTACGATTACATAATTGATTATGAGTTCCAAACTGATGGGCTAATGAGAGCTAAGGTACTTTCGATTTTTGAGATGTCATTATTGCCAAAATGATTATAAAAAGTTTCGTTGATATATCTTGAAAATATTTTCTTTTGGGTACGATCCACAACAGGTTGGGCTTAGTGGAATCTTGATGGTGAAAGGGACAACGTACAAGAACAAGAACCAAGTGAAGAAAGACAAAGAAGGTAATGAAGAAGAGCTCTACGGCACGATTCTGTCCGAAAATGTAATTGGAGTTATTCACGACCACTACGTTACTTTTTACCTTGACCTCGACGTGGATGGCCCGAACAATTCCTTTGTTAAAGTGAACCTTAAGAGGCAACAGACGGAGCCGGGTGAGTCACCGAGGAAGAGTTACATGAATGTGGTTAAGAACACTGCGAAAACCGAAAAGGACGGTCAGATCAAGCTTAGCTTGTACGATCCATCAGAATACCATGTTATCAACTCTGGTAAAACCACTCGGGTTGGTAACCCGACCGGTTACAAGGTCGTGCCTAGAGCCACAGCAGCTAGTCTACTTGACCGTGATGATCTACCGCAGAAGAGAGGAGCTTTTACCAATAACCAAATTTGGGTCACTCCCTACAACAAGTCTGAGCAATGGGCTGGCGGTTTGTTCACTTACCAAAGTCATGGTGATGATACTCTTGCGGTTTGGTCAAACAGGTGATTACATTATAAATTTATAATTAATAGTTCTTTAGTTAAGAATCATTCTTTTTATTTAATGCATTATTGGTGTTATGCAGGGATAGAGACATAGAGAACAAGGACATTGTGGTATGGTACACACTTGGCTTCCATCACATTCCATGTCAAGAAGATTTTCCGATAATGCCTACAGTTTCTTCGAGTTTTGATCTGAAGCCAGTCAATTTCTTTGAGAGAAATCCAATCCTTAGCGCTACTCCGAATTTCGAACATGACCTTCCGGTTTGCGGAGCCGGATCTGTTTCTGCTTAAGAAGAATGAAGAACCAACGAAATAATTGTCCAACTTTTGGATCTTGTTATATATATAGATCCATGGTACAACTTTAAATCAAGTAATAATAAGAATACAAGATATTTTACTGTGCGGTGTTAGTGAAATATCAACTCCCACACCAAAACCTTTTAGCGCAAAATTAGTATAACATGTCCAATTCAAACCGGAATGTTAATCTCAAAGAATTGTGGGCAATTAACTAAAACTGGATTCGGACTCTCACGTACTTGCGAGATTGATTTCAAAAATGAAGTTTGATATGAGTTTTATAGTAGATTACGTTTGTGTGGAGTTATATTTGTAAACACATTTTTTGGCAAGGTTACTTCAAATTTATACCAGTAAAGTAGTATTTGATTTGTTTTTAATAATGTTAATAACAACAACAAATTTGGTATAAACAATGTGGGATGTGATTTGGAGCCATGAAGAGATAAATTAATTAACATACATACTTTTCTGGAAATCTTCAGTACTGTCCTGTTTAGACCCAAGTAAACTAACAATTATAGAGATTAGAGACTTAATATTGATATTTGATAATATGCTTCTAAATTCTTTGAGCTTACACTAAAATATATTGCTTCTATTTCATCTAGAAGAGATCCAGTCTTTTCATCACTCTCAGCTCATAACACCATTTGTAAAGCTCACATCGTGAATGCTCAATGAATCTCATTTCAACGTACGTCACATTAGTCATGCATGCACTGATGCATATATGATGCCATTGTCAACCGAACGCACATATGACATATTCATCACAACATATTGACAAAAATGGGCTTCTGTTGGATTTTTCAGTCGACATCATGAGCCCCTTGGGCCTTCATCATTCTTCAGACCGTATATACGACTGCCAATATTATATTTTTCGAAAAATTATATATGGTATATGATATAAAAAACATTTAAAAGAAAAAAAATCAAATCAAATCAAATCAAAATACTATAATGAAAAACGTTGTCAAAAGAAAAGCCATCAAATAACTGATTATAATTAAAAACAGGAATCCTACAATTCGTTGGTCGACCAAAACCAAAAAAACAACTCACTTGTTTGGTTTCTTTATAAGTTCGTTCAGCATGATTTGACTTTAAAGGAATTCTAGTATTGTATAACTTGCATGTGAGATGTGAGAAGTGAGATGCAATCAAGCATGAGAATAGGATATGTTGGGAAAACTATTGAGTCTACTATACGACACAATCAAAATAATGAACTAATGAGAGATAATAAAACCACACAAAAAAAAAAAAGTAAAATCACAAAACAGAACAACCTTGAATTTTAAAAAATCCGACGATTCTTTGTAAATAAAACAACAAAGAGAATCCTAAACCAAGAAAATATAATCTAGTTCCGTCAAAGGCGTTAGAACCTTACGTACATATACGCATGTAGCATTGTAGGTTTCTAGGAGTGGACAAATGTTCACTTCTCCATTTTTTCAATGTCAAAGAGATAAGATTCCTTATGATTCGTGTACACAACTTTTTATTTTTTCTTATAAAAACTATAAAGCATGTTGAAGATATTTATTTCGGAATGATTTGTATATATCTTTGTGCTATGACTCTATGAGGGGAGTGACGTACTTAAGTTAAGCTCACTAGTTACTCTACTTCTATATAATACGATAACTCCTACGATCTTCACTCACCAAAGCAACAAAACAAAAACATAAAAAGAACCTGACATGGAACAAAAAGCTTTTTTCCGGTTAATTTTTCTCATAGTCACGGCCGGTTTAATCATCTCTTTCACGTCCACTAACTTCTCTCACAGGCCAACGAGGCTTCTTGATTGCACCGATGCTTCCTTTTCACCTCTTTGCGCTTCTAGAAACTTTCTTTTCAACAAACAAGAACCTAAACACGATCCTAAACCAAAGACTAAAAACCATCATGACCATGCGTCCGACACACCAAACCATCCTCTAGACCCGCTCACGGTCATGGAGATCAACAAAGTCCGATCAATACTCTTCTCTCATGCTCTCTTCACCTCCGGTACACCTCACGCTCTCCACACCGTCGTTCTTGAAGAGCCTGACAAGAATCTTGTACGTCTTTGGGAAAAAGGTAACCCTCTCCCTCCGAGGAAAGCTTCAGTCATCGCACGTGTTGGCCTCGACACGCACGTGCTCACCGTTGACATATCTACGGGTCGGGTGGAGTCAGAGAACAGCCCCGTTAATGTTTCTGGTTACCCGATGATGACTATAGAAGAGATGAACGATATCACAGTTGTACCGTTCTCAAACGCGGATTTCAACCGTACGATTCTTTCTCGTGGAGTTAATCTAACGGACGTGATTTGTTTTCCGATCTCATGTGGTTGGTTTGGTAATAAAGAAGAGAACGTGAGGGTAATTAAAAGTCAGTGTTTCTTGACTCAAGGCACTGCCAACTTCTACATGCGACCTATCGAAGGTTTGACTATACTTATCGATTTAGATACGAAGCAAGTGATCGAGATATCCGATACGGGTCGGGCTATACCCATACCGGGTTCAACCAACACTGATTACCGCTTCGAAAAGCTCGTGACTACGGGCAAAACCCGAGTTCTAAACCCGATATCAATAGAGCAGCCACGTGGTCCAAGCTTTGTCATTGAGGACAACCATATGGTTAAATGGGCAAACTGGGAATTTCATCTAAAACCAGACCCGAGAGCAGGTGTGGTTTTATCACGGGTCAGGGTGCATGATCCGGATACTCAAGAGACACGTGATGTTATGTACAAAGGGTTCGTGTCGGAGCTTTTTGTTCCGTACATGGATCCTTCGGACGCGTGGTACTTTAAGACTTACATGGACGCTGGTGAGTATGGATTCGGGTTACAAGCCATGCCACTTGTACCCCTTAACGATTGTCCAAGAAACGCCGTTTATATGGACGGAATATTCGCGGCTGCTGACGGAACACCGTTTGTGAGAGAAAACATGGTTTGTATATTTGAGAGCTACGCCGGAGATATTGGGTGGCGTCACTCCGAAAGCCCCATCACAGGCTTACCGGTTAGTGTTTTTATAATTACATAGAACAAAGTTTTATAAAAAGAGTGATAATGTTAATTACTACAATTTTGAATTAGTAGATAAGGGAAGTGAGACCAAAAGTGACGCTTGTGGTACGAATGGTAGCTTCGGTAGGTAACTATGATTACATCATTGATTACGAGTTCCAAACTGATGGACTTATCAAAGCTAAGGTACTTTACTTTATACCACTTTCCAAAATATAAAAGATTCCATAGGATTCCGTGGGAATAATGAATATTTGCAATTTTCTTGTCACGCCACTATTGTTAATGTAGTTGATAATGACAGGTCGGGCTTAGTGGAATTTTAATGGTGAAAGGGACAACATATCAAAACAAGAACCAAGTGGAGAAAGATAAAGACGGTAATGAAGAAGAGCTTCACGGCACGCTTCTGTCTGAAAATGTAATCGGAGTAATTCATGATCACTACGTCACTTTTTACCTCGATCTTGACGTGGATGGCCCGGACAACTCGTTTGTTAAAGTGAACCTCAAGAGGCAAGAGACCGAACCAGGTGAGTCACCGAGGAAGAGTTACCTGAAAGCTGTAAGGAACATTGCTAAAACTGAAAAGGATGGTCAGATCAAGCTTAGCTTGTACGATCCATCAGAATACCATGTTATCAACTCTGGTAAAACCACTCGGGTTGGTAACCCGACGGGCTACAAGGTCGTGCCTCGAGCCACAGCTGCTAGTTTGCTTGACCATGATGACCCGCCGCAGAAGAGAGGAGCTTTTACTAATAACCAAATTTGGGTCACTCCTTACAATAAGTCCGAGCAATGGGCTGGTGGCTTGTTCACTTACCAAAGCCATGGTGATGATACTCTTGCAGTTTGGTCAGACAGGTGATTAATTTCGAAATTATAATTATTAATATATTATTATATAGTTAACAACTTAAGTTACTTAACATTCGATTGTCTAATTTTTTTGCATTATTGGTGTCATGCAGGGATAGAGACATAGAGAACAAGGACATAGTTGTGTGGTACACACTTGGCTTCCATCACATTCCATGTCAAGAGGATTTTCCGATAATGCCCACAGTTTCTTCGAGTTTCGACTTGAAGCCCACAAATTTTTTCGAGCGTAATCCAATCCTAAGGGCCGCTCCGAACTACGAGCACGACCTTCCGGTTTGTGGAGTTCAATCTGTTTCTGCTTGAGAAGAGTAAAGTACAAAATAATGATATAACCACTTTTGTATCTTCCATAAATCATGGTACTATTTATGTCCAAACATTGTTTTTATGGGTTTAAAATTTTAGCGTCTAAGTTTACTCATAGTGTCGACTACGGACACATAGTGCCAACGTTGCCAAGGAGGGCCACTTTGCCTCCTAGATATAGAACAATACTTTTGATATCTTAATTTGTGAAGATAGTAGTATGTTTTACTCACCCATAACATATTAGCATTTGAATTTTTAGAAAATTTTAGGACAAAGATTTCACGTTTTGGTGACAATATTCGTTGCTGAACAAGTTTTGCGTGTAAAATTTAGGAAAATTTAAGTTCTCTAAAAGAAAAAAAAAATTTGCAATAAAAGTTTCTAAGTACTTACAAATTTACAATGAAATAACATATTTTATTATTATAGTACAATATCTTAATTTAATTAAATTAGAAAAGAAGTACAAATTAAAAAATGTTCAAATTAATCATTCATATACTTTAATTACTATTGAAATTATGTGTAGAATGTGTTTAAATTCAATTAGAAAGGATAATTTGGAATCAAATAATTAAAATCGAAATAATCTATTCAACGAAATATTAATTATTTATAAAAAATAAAATATTTTCATTGTTTATAATCATCTGCTGCCATATTTGTGGGATGCAAGTATAAAGTTCCTATCTAAGTTAGTAAAATGTTAGACCACTAGTATATTTTTATCCGCAGTCGTAGTTTTCATAGACCTAGCACGGTGAACACCGTGGTTGGCTTAACTACATCTGATCGCATATTATGGTGTCTCCGAAAAGCTCACATCTGGTAAATATACAAAATAAATAACTTTTTTATATCATACATTTCACTCTTATCACATTGTTTGTTACATGTTTACACATAAATGTAGGCGTCCTTTTCTTAATCTATATATATAAAGTTAACTTTTCTCTATTCTTCTTAAGCCACATCATCATCTACCTCATTTTATTATTTAATTTTTAAAATTAATTATACCATTTTATCATTTAATTTTAATATTTAAACCTACGTAAATAAGTTTTTCCAAAATGAATATGAAAGGATTTGTTTTATATTATACATTATAAAACTAAAAAAGATAATTGATTAAGAGTTAAAAAAAACTTACTAATTATCGATTATACTAACAAATATATAAATAATAGATTATAATTTTTAGTGAATATTTAAAATATATATATGATTATATTTACACAATGTAAACCTAAATATAATGGGATTTAACGGGAATAAAACAAAAAGTAAGAAATTTTGAGAATATAAATCTATCTAATTTATGTCTCAAAAAATTTTCTAACATAAGTGAGATAAGTCGGACCGAAACATGAATTCTTATTTTTTATAAACATATAAAAAGGTAAAAATAAAAATAATATTTCTTTAAAAGTTTTCAATATGAATTTAACTATTTGTTTCCAATACAACACATATGTTAAACTAAT